CATCAATCAATGATTCAATAATGCACAATTGTCTATTTACTTTCTGGTCCCTGAAATTTACTCAAACATTCAATCTAGTCTACTTTCGTCTAGGAGGGAGACTCCTGAGTTGCAGAGGCTGATCTAATCTACTCAATCAAACTAATCAATCACTTAACCATCAATTATTACAGATTATAATTAACATTGTGTTGGTACAGGGAACTCCAGACCTATCGAGCTATGGCGAAAATGCATACGAGCTAGGGTTCGGAAAAGGAACCAACAACCCGCCCACATCAGCCAAGGTCGCGACCCACTTGCTCCGCGAGGTGGTTTACAACACCAGCCCACCGGAGGACTGCACCTTAGCAGCCATGCTGCTGAAACCAGGCCCCATCATGGCCCTCCAATCCGCCCGGTTCGATGATGACCATGAGGCGGCGGAAGGGGTGGAGCGGGTTTACATCAAGACGATGCAAGACAATGTGGTGAAGCCGGAGCAGCAGGATGCCATGATCAAGCGATGGCCGCCTTCCAAGGTGTATGCATTGGATTGCGACCACAGCCCTTTCTTCTCTTCGCCTTTCCTGCTCTCCGGTCTCCTCCTCAACATTGCTGCTGCTGCTGCTGCTGCGGCGGCAGGGAGTAGTAACTAGTTGAGCTTCTTCCATGGGGATTGCTCAATTGTGTTCTGTTTACGTGTATAATTTGTTTGGTAAAAAAAAAGAGGATTGGAACTTGCTTATTGAAAAAACTTATGGAGATGCAGGGGATCGAACCCTGTACCTCCCGCATGCAAAGCGGGCGCTCTACCATTTGAGCTACATCCCCATTTATTTGCTTTGGATGTTTTGATGATTAATATAGAATTCTTTGGCTACGCTCAAGGTGTTTTAGACCATGTTAAAGTATAGAAAGTGATGCTCATATGCAATTGTAGGACAAAACTATTTCTTGTAATGTGTAGATGTCTTAGGTTTTCTCCGAATTCTTCTATTCCGAGAACACGGCGAATCCAGCTGATGCATGAGCTTGTCTGGCTTTTCAAAGGCCATGCTTTGATTTTACAATGTAAGAAGCTTGTGTTTGGAACTGAAACTTGCACACCATAATATCAGGAAATGAAAATTGGGTTTCTAAGAGTTATTGGAAAAAGTAATTTGATTAATTAGTTGTACTGGGTTCAAAACATTTAAAACGTATAGTCTAATCTTTTATGATTAAAATGATATTTCACCATAAGAAATTCGTTTGTAATTTCATAAAAGTCTTTGCAGTGAATTTTGGCAGGGGGTTGTAAACATTTTCCAATCTACTAAGGAAAGTGTGCTTTAGCTATATTGTAATTGATTATATTGTAATGAGGAATTAAATTAAAATTCTCCCACTATTATCATAGGCACATGTCAATCCTCATGGTGTCATACTGGCAAAATTCCATTTTGCTCATGAGTTTCAAAAGTGGCCTAAAACATTTAACAAATAAACTACAAATGTGCAAATATAAACATATAAACACACGTAGAAATTTTTTGAAGGATGCACATATCAGAGAATTTTGTGGTTTATGAAGAAAGTAACCTCTAAAAAACTTCCAACTTTTGGTGCACAATCTTCATTTAAGTGGTATAGCTCCCCAATTACAATAGTTAAATGGTATTGTGTTATTTAGCCCTAACTATGCTTACTACACATGTAAGTTAAGCTTGAAATACAAGTGAAACCCCTAAATCCTAAACCTCATCTGAAATCTTATACTTTAAAACACATGTAAGACTATAACCCTGAGTTAGGCTCTAAACCTTGATTGAAACTCAAAACCCTAAAACATGGAACCCTAAAGCAGCTATTTCCCAGCTAAATGAAAATTTAAAGGGTAAACCCTGAAATTCTAATTTCTAAATCCTATACAAATTGGTAAATCGTACTCTGAACATGAATTTTTGTGTGCGTAAAGTAATATGTGTGATTAAATTCATAGTAAAAAATTAAAAGTTAATTTTTCATTAGGTGATCTATTATTTGTATATTGTACTCGTACCATATTGTATAGCTCATAACTTTGTAATTAGTTTTTATCATAGCATGAATACAAACAAAGTTTCCATCATATTGTTTAATAGCAAATATAACTTAATCCATATATTATAAATATTTTTCTTGCAAATAATTAGTGAGAATATAACCACCACCAAATCAAGTTATGATGTGAGGTATATAATCTAATCAATTTACAAGTCATTCCAAGGCAACTTGGAAACTATACTGAGTTGGGCTCCACAAACTACATGGTCAACCTAGCTTGTGACCTCTAAAGGATTCAACTCACAGAATGAGCTAACGAGCAACATAGTCAACCTAGCTCGTGAGCTTTAATCAAGCTAGATCACAAGCTGAGTTCCACAAACCACAAAGTCGAGTTAGCTCGTGAACTAATAAGCTGAGCATGACCTAGGTCAAACTTAGCTCATTAACTAATGAGCTAAATTGCAGATCAACCATTAACTAATTGTAACACTATAACCCGGCCGGGTACTAATTTTATCAAAATATCCTTGAAAATTAAAACACACAAAGCTTAAACTGCAATGGGGAAAAAAATTCATAAATAAATTTCTGAAAACACACTCTTCTAGTTCAAAGCAACGCCCTAACACGTGGGCAACTTAACTCATCAAACTTTAAAAACTCAACTTGATCTCCAGTATATACTCATAATCATAAAAAATAATAACTAACTAGTCTCAAGTGTTGCTGCTTGTGTGAAACTCTGACTAGACATCCTCTGTGACGCTCGTACCGTCCTCCTCTAGCTAGCTTCCCTTGAACTATTTCTCTCAATCTCGTTGCTCGCTAACTGCTCCTCTAGCTCCTTCCTCTTCAAACTGGTGAGTGAGTTGGGGTCAGTCTATGCCCTTACGTTTAAAATTTCTTATACTTGAATATTTTACTTCAGATACTTAACTTAAACTGGTGGGAGTTGTTTGTGCTTCCACTCTTAAAACTCCTAACTCTTAAAACTGTATGGGAGTTACTGTTACTCTCCATTCTTAAAGCTCAAATCTCGACTTAAATACTTGACTGACACGGGGATCCCTCACTAGCTAGTCCGGTTGCCCAACTCATACGTATGAGAAGCCCTCAAGGCTTTCCTTAAACTTAAACTTATCGTGGAAGGCTCTTCTTCCACGATTCTCAAGAGCATAACTGTTGCTCATCTTAAAAATCTCAAGAGCATAACTGTTGCTCATCTTAAAAATCTCAAGAGCATAACTGCTGCTCAACTTAAATATCTCAAGAGCATAACTGTTGCTCTGCCTCAAAGATCTCAAATGGCAACGGACTGGCTGATGGGGGTTTGATGCTCCATTAGGTATATATATAGTACACGTTTAGCTTAGGGTTTAATTGGTTCACAGGGTATTTTGGGAATTTCTCGATTATTAAGATATCGGTTGAGGTTAATCCAAAACCCAGTTAACGTCCGTAACTTGTTCATTTTATGTCATAACTCAACAACGTTTGAATCGAAAGCTCATAATTTTAGTACTTATGGATGTTACGATAGAATTTGACAAATTTTATCAAGGTTACAATTGTCATTTTGACTTAAGGAAAGAACGGGGTGTAACACTAATGAGTCAAGTATTTACTAAATATTTTCTCTATACAAACACCAAAATGCTCGAGATCAGGATTGTCCATTTACATGCCTAATGCTAGTTTATGATACGTGCATAGTTATACACATTTATCATTTTATCTTGAACGTTTCTTGGTCATTTTGTATAAAAACAATCTCTTCTAAGTAAATTCTATGCTAGGTTGTGTTCTTTTGACATATTTCAAGTCCTAGTAAATGAATGAGACTTAGGAGAGAATTTGGGACATTATTTGGAGGTCGAAAGGGACATATAGGGCCAAAGAGAAGTCACAATCAACAAAAGAGGACTCAAGGCATGACTTTTCTTAATCTTAGACCATAAAAATTAGAGGAAACTCACGGTTAGCTAACGGAGGATTACATCCTTGTAAATGTCAATTAAGACCGTGCATTACAGATAGAAGCTTAAGAAGAAAGTGACTGGCAGACAATGCAAAATAACAACCATAACTTTCCTAATAGTCATGACCATGGTTTCCCTGAAGTGCATTAGTGAAATGGTGCGTCTTTAGAAATCACGGGTGACACTTTAGAATCAGAGTCATGATTCTTGTGTTCATTATGCCACTGATGGATATAAATAGGGCTTTTTTGAAGAGAGAGCTTGGTTTTTGGACTGAAAATAGAAAGTGGGAAAGCCCCAGAGAGAGTACGAATTTGGAAGTTTGGGGCTACTTTGATGCGGTTTCTTCAATATTGAAGCTCAAGAATCAAGTTCAGAAGTGAAAATTGAAGATTGGAAGAATAATCTCATTATCACTTAAAGTCTTCCATCTTCTCGATATAAATAAAGAGTGAAAATGACTTAGAGGTCATCAATCATTAATTTGACTAGTGACTAGAGACAATTAACACCTGAATGACCTTTCTCCGTCTAGTCAATTTACTTACTCTTTGTTAGCTTTAGTTGTTTAGATTAATTGTTTATACAAAATAATATACCGAACCTGAATAACAGTACATCTAGAGAATCCTGCATTTGATAAATAAAACTTACTGTCACTATATTACTTTTCTTTCTGTTACACTTGACATATACGGGAGTGTTAGTTTTAGAGAATAATTCAATTTCTTTTGTATCTCCTTTTTACCCAAAAACTTCTTCAACACCAACAAAACTTATGTACTTTTATTTGATCTCACTACTTGAACAAGGATTCGACAAAAATAAAGAAAACGCAAATTAAATACACACATAACATTAACACACCTCCGCCTTCCTGTTCCATATAATCATGTCAAAAAAGAAGAAAAAAAGGACTGAGAAGCATCGGTTTTATTGTTAGCTATCACAATACACGCCTTTTTATTACACAAACAACACAAAACGCTGCAAATCATCCCCACTGACTCGTTACGCATTTCCGGCTGCCGCAACAGGCCCCGGCGGCACATCAACAGCCACTGCTTTCTCGTCCCCGCTGCCGAGCTCCCTGTCATCGCCGGAAAGCTCCTCCAGCGACTTCCCTTTCGTCTCCGGCACCAGGAACGTGAAGAAAAACCCTAGGAGGTTCACTAGCGACAGCCCGATCATCGCCTTCTTGATCCCATTCGAATCCCCTGACTGCGTGTAGCTCTGCACCACGAAGGCGCCGATTATCGCCCCGGCCTTCCCCGCCGCCGCCGACACCCCGTGGCAAGTCGATCGGAACCTCGCGGGGAAGATCTCGGCGGGGACGATGAACGTCGTGCTGTTGGGCCCGAAGTTCGCGAAGAACAGGGTCAGGCCGTACAGAACCGAGAACATCAGACGGTTGCCGCCGCAGAATTCCTTGACGGAGTCGGCGGCGCAGTAAGTCTTCTCCCCTCTGAGGTCGTGGTACTTGAGCCCCAAAATCGCCATACAGATCGACATCAGGAGGAAGCCCACCAACTGTATGATGAAACGCCCAATTTTGTCGATGAAGTATACAGTGAACCAGTACCCCGGAACCGTCGCCAGGAGGGCAATTATGGTCATCGCCTTGGCCAGCTGGTAAGTTTCCTCCAGAGCGTTCATGGTTGAAGCTTTGTTCAACAATCCACTCGCTGTGTAGACGTCCTTCTGTGCCAATTGCAGGCTGTAGAACCCTATGTCGAGCAAGAACCATGTGGTAGTTGTCCCCAATAGGTGAAGCCCATGCCGGCGTGAAAATTCAGACGAGAACAGCCCGAAGGAGGATTGGGGTCTACCAGCTGCTGCTGGGGATTTGGGGTTTGGGTTTGATTCTGGATCAATTGAGAAATCCTGTTGCAGAACTTTGGCCATGTCGTTAGCAGCTTTCTTGTGGTTGCCTTGAACTAGAGCAGTGTACCTTGCAGTTTCGGGCATCTTCATCCGCCAATAGAATGTCAATGCTGCAGGGACAGCACCCAGCATCAGGACGAGCCTCCATACAAAGTCTGCTTCCGGCTGAGTGGACAAGACGAAGCCTTTGCTGAAAGATGGAGCTGGGTAATTGTGCAGGAAGATTTTGGTGACGATGAGGGTAACAAATGCTGCGAAGAGAATACCCATCCCCTGCATCGCAAACACTGCAGCAATGAACGCTCCTCTGGTTTTCTGGTTGGAGTATTCAGACATGATCACGGCCGAGAGTGGGTAGTCTCCTCCGATGCCGAACCCAAGCCAGAACCGGAAGAAGCAGAGGGTACCAATCACGCTCTTGGGTGTGGAGCCAAAGGAAAGGCCAGAGCATAGAGCACAGCCCACCATGGTCACAAGGGTAATCCCATACACTCTTTTCCTGCCGAGCTTGTCTCCAAGCCATCCGAAGAAGAGCTGTCCAGCTAGAGTCCCACACAGAGCAACTCCAGTTATGGCGTTGTTGATGTCTATGGGGACCTTCCCCGGTCCTGGCGCGGAAGGCTTTGGGAGTGCTGGGTCGAAGTAGTAGAGTCGGCCGATGAGCTTCGTGACGGCGGTGATGCAGAAGAGATCGTATGCGTCAGTGAAGAACCCCATTCCTGCAATCACAATGGCCTTGAAATGGTAGAGCTGCGTCTTGGCATTGTCGAGGGCCGAGAAGACCTCCTTCGTCCCGCCGCCGTCAACCATCGGAGGCAGAGAGGTAAGCAACTGGGTATAGAGTTACTTCTTGCTTCTTTCTGCTCAGTTTTGGCAATTCAAGCCGACTTTGCTGTGGTGAGTGAAGGTTAATGAATAGAGCCATTATATAACACATGAAAGGAGTGAAGGTTGATGAGCTTTCAAGGGGGAAATGCTTCAGATATGTCTGGGGGCTTTTGCCTTTGTCTCTACATGTGCGCATATTATTTATCACAAGAAATTCTCTTCGTTCTTTCCGACTTGGTTTTGCCATTACATTGACAGTAATGGGCAGTGCAATTAGCAGATGAGACCTTGGCTATGTGTCTTGGAAAATGCTCAATTGGGTTAGTGGTAAACCCTAGAATGTGTCTTCTGGTTGCCCCTTCAAGGGGTGAGATTGATCATTGACAGAGTTCAAGGCTTCGGCTGTTCAATGTGGACAAGTTTCATATCCTCCTTTGTCTTTTATTCTTCTGGGATAACCCGTAAATTGGCATTATCGTTTGTTGCTTATTGCTTTTAAGATTGATGAATCATATGTTTTTCTGTACGTGCAAACATATATTCTTTAGGATATGCTATCTATTATCATGAAATTTGTGGTGGGCTTTTAACTAATTCGACAATTTAAAAGAATTGTGGGGGTGAAGAGTTATGGCTATCAGGCGAGGCATGGTGAATATTTATTTTAGTTGTGCTAAGTTTGGATCAAGTTGAGTTATATTCATGCTTGATTGGGTCTGCTGTAGTTGACCCCTTCTAATATCCTATTCAAAGAGAAAATAGTAACAATTTAGTTATTTTACAAGCAAACAAATGAAAAGATGACTTTCTAGTTCATAAATAATAAATTGATTCAGAGTGAGACTTAAGTAATGAAGACTGGTTGTTTGAAGGATGGAGATTCGTATGTTATCATGATAAGTCGAGTGGGGTAAAATATGATTTAAGAAAAATTAAAAGAAGTGAAAATATGAGTTAATATTTCGACAAATGTATAGAGGAAGGGTGAAAATAGGTGAAAGTAACATCAACGCTAGGGTACACGGTACTCACAAATAATACCCTCACAAACTGTTTGGTTGAACATATCCTATCAAAATTATCATCCCAAAAATTAAAAGTTGTAAAAAAAATATTATAAGAGTTACATCAAGTACGGTTGTCATATATGCCACGATTAAATAACTCAAGAAATATGACCAATTTAATGGAGATATATAGTGAAAATCATCCTTCTTAGTAGTCCTCTCAATAAATGTGTTGAGTTTCCAAAACTTGAAGAGCATGGAAAACTAAAAGTTAATACATCTACGCGTTAAATGCAAAAGTATGAATACAAAATCATAGTCCAAGTATGCTCATCCATACATTTTCCATGAACATGTACACCTCTCTTCCTTTTCCTCTTCCTCTTCCAATCTTTTTTTTTTTTTTTATCAAACTTGCTTTACATTTTGTTTGGCTGAGAGCACTAAGAAAAAGATAAGGGCAAATCTCTATCCAAAATAATCACTTGCACTTGCTTTTTTGGAATACTATGAGGGTAGGCTATCAATATTAGCAATCTTCGTTTTGAGCTCTAACTTGTCTGCACCAACAAGTTTGTCCAATTGTTTCCCTTCTTTCAGGAAGAAAAATGTTGGTGTGGCCTTGACTTCCCATGTCGAACTCATTTCCTGTGGCGATCACGAGTAATTTGAGATTCATTCTTCAAACGATTTTTTTAATAATGTTATGGGGAGTGGGGTTTGATTGGTTATAAGAGTTTAATTACCGCAAGTGCATCTACGTCGACGGTAAGAAATGTGATGGAAGGGTATTTGTCGGCAAGCTTGCAATAGGGTCGAGCTATCCTTCTGCAAGGACTACTCCAAGAAGAGCTGAAATTGAGGATGACAATCTTGCCGGCCTTCTTGGCCTCAAGGAGCTTGGCGTCCCATTTCTGGATCGTGTTGATGAGTTGAACCCTTCCCGTAGCTAGCTCTATGTGACGATTCGGGTCGTCGGCATTAATTTGATCTTGATCGTCTTCACCGTCAGCACCGTTACAACAACTAAAATTGCAACAATAACTACTGAATATCTGCAGCCAAACCCAAGTTTACATCATTAAATCTCAAAAAGAACAAGTGGATTTTAAATGCAACATTTTGGGATCTTAAAAGTGTGATGAATTACCTTTGGCCAGCAACATCTTGCTGTCATAGCTTTGAGTAATTAGATAATGTTAGTGTAGTCTGCAATTTACCCCTGAAAATGTTTGTTTTCCTGCAAATGAAAGAAAGAGGCAGACATTTAAATTAACTAATAATTAGTAGTATTGCTTATGTCTATGATCGCTATCAAAAATTCAAAATAATAAAAAAAATCTCAATCAAAGAAAAAGTGAACAGAATCAACAACACGTTTTCAAAACTTTTTGTTGTTTTTTGTGACATTTTTCTGATCATAAAAAAATGTTTTCTTGTGGTAAAAGAACAGAACAGGAAAATTCCACGAAATGATTCAAAATTAATACAATCACATTTCAAAACTCTCGAGAATACATTTTTTATTGAGATGTAACATTTGAAAGGATTTTTTGGCTGTGTTGATTATTTCAATCTTGATAATTAATCAACACACTCAAAAGAACCCTTCATCCTGATGGAGAGAACAGTCCAAAAGAACAAGATTGTAAAACGGGGTAAAAAAATAAAAAGGGATCAAAGAAGAAGCCATGTTAATTAAGTAATGTACCTTTGAAAAAGAAAATCCTGGAAAAATGGGATGCAATTGCGTTTTGATCATCCCAGGATTTCTTCAGGAGCAAAAGTTACATCATTGAATTGGAAGCCATTTTTTTACCCCTACTAGAATGCCAAGGCAGCAAGGGGTAAAAAGGAAAGGTCCCTGTTTTACAAATCTTCTTGCCCTTTTGGATATGGGTTGTTAAGAATAAATATCTTTCCTTTCACTCAAACTAACATTAAAAAAAAATTATTATAATAATAATTAGGAATTTAATTTATGTGGAAAGGTAGCTCAACATGAATTGGTTTAGAATGAAAGACATAATGTACTAGGGATGCATGTGTAAAAATTAGTTCGTTATCAATAATCCCATTAATGTATTAGTTCGTTACTTCCTAACTAGGGATGCATTTGTAAAAATTTTGATCTGTTCATTTCATTTGTACTGAAAATTTAAAATTGTGTCTAAACGGTGAAAATGTGATACTAATTTTGTATTGATCAATTTTTTTTTTCCTTTTCAGTAATTGTTGTTGAATTTTATAGCTCATCCTTGGTCAAAACAAACCAAGCTCTAAAAAACATACTGATATAGGAGTAACAGTAAGACACAACAAAAAGCACTACACATTAGTAGGTGCACCTGAAGAATAAGTGCTCCCTGGTTTCAGGTTCACACTTGCATAGTAAGCAAACATCATAACCAATAACACCACATCCCTTCGATTGTACACGAGTCAGAATTGTTCATTATCACCATCCAAGCTACGAATCTGTGCCTTGGTATCAAAATCTTCCCCCATAGAGTTTTATACTAAACAACCTTAGCACCTCTAGGTCTTATAGACTTCCATAAAATCTTGATAGAATTTTCGCATAATTTTATGTTCCTAGCTGTGATTGTATCGACCTCTAGCCTGAATTGGAACCAAGATCATAGTCGTAACAGTTTCTTTTATAACTAGGAACCCATCTATGATTTAGCCAGGTCCCAAAATGATAATCTCTTTGATCAATATCTTAGTATTCAGGCAACCCAAAATGACCATTCTCCTCTCATTAGAAGCATCCAGATCATTCTAGCAGCATATGATACATTCCAAGTGTAAAGATCTCTTAACCCAAGCCCACCCTTGATAACGTTCAATTATACTGTTTATCTCTTCCCCTATTTGATTCAATGCCCCTTCTGTCAATGCATTTTTAGTAACTTTTGATATATTATATGTGAATTTCATAACTATTTGATCAATGAGCTTATTTGAGACCTTTTTGAATTGTTTTGTGCTTTTCAAGGTAAAATCCAATCTAGAATTATTTGGATTACATATTTGATCAAGTTGGAGGATAAAATGGGTGATTACAAAAACATCAAGGAGGAATCCATATATCGAGTCTAAACCCATCAACTCTTCATATGAGTCCAAGAAGAGCCCACTAGAGAAGTTTCATCCCAAACGGAAGAAAGAATCGAAGACGGGTAAAACCACCATTGGGCCGCTGTCAGCTCAAACCCATCAAGTCGCGAGCAAATTCATCGGAGAGGTTACTTGAAGGCCAAGAAGCTCAAGCTCACAAAGAAACCCACGGCAGATCTGTCTGCCACTGTGTCGTCCCTTGCCTAATTAAGGCCCATGGAAGCTTCTAGAACAAAGATCTATGGCAGCGGAGTGGTTCTGACACTAAATAAACTATCGACACTGATAGCGAGTAGGTGACTTCGAACGAAGCGTATTTTTTTATTTTCAATTTCTTGGCAGTAGAACATTTCCGTCTTTTTTCTTTTCAATTTCTTGGCAAGTCTCTTTGCAGGTGAATATTTTTAAAAAATTTAACATGTTACTATATTAGATGGTCAAATCTAGGCTATTTATTTTCAAAATTATGTCATGATTTTTGTAGTTTGACATAATTGTTATATAAAAAATTTGTGAAAAGTTTTAGATGTTATATTTTGATATATTTTTTTATCACTAAATATGTGTTGGAAAAAAAAAGTTGTCGGCCCTCCTAATCGGAAATATTCGTTTCGTCAGCTACATATATCCCAAATAATATAGATTGAATAGATAACTATAGATTACATAGACAACTAATCAACTAGAGTGGCTAGCGTTCTCCTTGCTTTTGTATAATTCAATATCTGTTACCAAGTCATCACGGTTCCCTAACCAATCCGCTGTTCTGTCAACGCTTATCACTTCCACTCCCTTCTTCCAACTAGCATACAGTGCGTGCAACTATTGTTCACTAGTCAATTATTTTATGTGTGGTCCTTTCAATGGTGCATCTCTGTGTGACTAGCTTTATATACATGTGTGTGATCACGAACAATACAATTTCTTCATTGTCTACTCGGAGCTTCTGATCGGAGCTGGAAGGCTCTTTGAGTACGTTGCGCAGTACGCTTTCTGCCAGCATAGCCTACACAACCGAGGGTGGCGGGTGATAATGGAAATCCCATGTGCAGTGTCGGTTGCATCCCTCATCACGTTGGTCTTTTCTCAGTTTAGGGTATCATCGACTTACCTTCCCATCTCCGACCTGCTGGAAGACGCGAGGGCTATCATGGAAGACATGAGGTGCACTAGAGAATAGGTCTACCAAAGAATCGGGCAGTTGAAGTTAGTCGCAACATCTCTCCCCACGTGGCATTAGGACTAACCATTGCTATGTATAAATATCGATATTGATATCATTTAAACAAAGTTACTATACTAAATCGATAGGTTCACCTAACAAAAGGCGACTAGTTTTCGCTAAATTTTTCATCAAACGCAAGTGGGATTTAGTCCTTTTTTTAACCCGTAATGAGAATTAAACCAATTTACAATTATCATTCATATATATTTACTAGTTATATTTGTTATATAACATAGATTTGGCACAAACTATCTTAGCATTGTAATATATGCTATATGGATAATACTTGTCACTTCAAAACTTCTCCTAATGAGTTTCTTTCATCATTCTTGGTGATGGATAAAAATTGACAAATAGTCATCTGCTTACTACAAAACCTACAAATTTTCCAAGGCTAACCCTAACTAGAGAGAGAGAGAGAGAGAGACATAGCGCTAGACGAAGAAACGAAGTTTCTCGACATATAGGTTCTTGAGAGCATTCTCATTGAGTAGGTATGGCATATCAATGTCCGTTGGATCTTCAGCTCATCACTCTAAGGGAATCGAGCTTCCCATTTGCCTTGTTCATATTTGGCTCGTTAATAAACGAGTCGAGTTCAACCTTGATTCATTTCTTAAAACATTGATTCATCATTAAGATCAAGAGTTCGGCTCAATCTCAATTCTAAGATAATGTATGAATACCCTAATAATTATATGTCATATACAATATATGTGATTAACTGATCTCTTATCATATATGACACATATTTTATCATATACTCAAAGTCTTAAACATCATATAAGGTGAGATATAGAATTAAATAAGCCTACAAATTATTAAAAAAAAAACAATTAATGAGATATAGATCGATTTTCTCATAAGACAACAGTCAACAGTCAAGTTGGCTCGCAAGTCACTATGTTGAGACATCTCATTATCTCAAAACGTGATAGTTCGCGAGTTGAGTTCAACAAGCCATCTAATCGAGCTAGCTTATGAGCCTCACAAGCACAACAAGGCTTAGCGCTAGTTCAAACTTGGCTCATTAATAAACGAGTCGAGCTTTTTCTGAAATCAAACGAGCTATTCTCGAATCGAACGTCGAGCTACTTCTGAACCGCTTGGCCGCCCTAGTTTCTTCGCTTCGCTTTCAATTTTTATCCTTTTGAAGCTTTTTATGGAGTTGACTATAAAGAAAAGGAAAGCCACAAAAAAAAAGGAAAGTGAATCTAGAGTTTGACCATTGCCCCTCAGTTTACCTAAGCAAACCAATTGATCACCCTCTATCCGGCCTGCCTCGTCGAACATGGAATGAAGCTGCAAAATCATCTCGAATAGAAGTAAGTTGTTTGGCAACATCAGCTATTTTTGTACGTTCTCTTGGCAACTCACTAGCACAACTCAAAGCGATTTCAAGCACTGAAACCAAACAGTTCGTCGCACTTTCCATCAGAGCCAGCTCCTCAACTTCGATGCCATTTCCATCAACAAAATATGTTTCCCAGGTCCCTGTTACTCCCTCGCCTCCACGTGTCGCTACCGGAAGCGACATCGAGGGGTCCAATACTGATAGTATTCCACTTGGAATCGCTCCCTTCACAAATTCACAAAGATTCACACCATCTTTGAACATCTCATCTGTGGGTCTTCTTCCAGTGAACATCTCTAGTAGAAGTATCCCAAAACTGTACACATCCCCTTCTTTGCACACAACCTTTCCCATTCCGTACTCTGCATTCCAAAACCAAACATATAATTATAGTCATCATCTGACGAAAATCTGTAGAATGTGTAAATGTAACAAACACAAATCTTTTGAATTTTTTTTTGTTACCTGGAGGGGCATAACCAATTGTTCCTTTGATTCCAATGGTGCTGCTTTCGTTTCGCGACGAGCTGCTGCTAGTATCGCTCGAGAATAATATCCTCGCCAGACCGAAATCGCCCACACGAGCAACCATGTCCGAGTCCAAGAGTACATTGTTGGGTTTCAGATCGCAATGAACGACCGGAGTTTCGCATAGATCGTGAAGATAATGCAGTCCCGATGCCACATCTACCGCAATGCTAAGCCTCTGAATCAAGGTCAAGTCGCGATCGGAGGAGTGAAGCCACTCTTCTAGGTTCCCTTTCGGCATGAACTCGAAAACGAGAGCCTTGAAATCGTTCCCCTTGTGATCCAAGCTAGAGCAATAGGTCAGGATTCTTACGAGGTTCCTGTGTCGAACATTTCTCAATGCGTTACACTCTGCCAATAAGCTCTTATGAGCTTTCCTGTCTTGAATATTGTTGAGCACTTTGACGGCTACTGGAGCCTCGATTTGCTCCAAAACTCCTTTGTAGATTGTGCTAAAGCCGCCGGATCCGATCAAGTTTTCGGAGGAGAACCCGTTGGTTCCTTGATGGAGGTCTTTGTAAGACACCATCACGAAGTTGTTTAAAGCCGAATCTCCAACGGAGATTCGCTTCTTTGATCTCTTGATCTGCAAACAAATCAGCAATCCTGATACGAAAAGGAAAGCCAGTGATGCCAAGACAATCACCAACGATAGCTTCACAGTTGCAGCTCTTTTATGCCTGGAGGATTTTGCTACAGCAGGGCAATCCGGCAAATGAAGCTCCGAGACATTACCGCAAAGCAGGGGATTTCCCATTAGAGATACGCCACTCGCATTTGCGAAGATCCCTTTACTCGGGACCTCGCCTCGTAGATCATTGAAGGAGAGATTCAAATTCTGCAAAGTGGGGATGTCTTGCAAACCAGAAGGAATTCCTCCGGTGAAATTATTCGAAGAAAGATCCAAACTTTCCATCGCTCTGAGAGAAGCGAAACCCAGAGGAATGCTGCCACTGAATGAGTTCCCCTGCAGATACAGAGCTTTGAGGCTCTTGCAATCACCAATCGCTTCAGGGATCCCCCTTGTTAGAAAATTGTGAGACAGATCCAAAGCTTCCACATTTACTAGTTGCCCGATTTCTTCCGGGACCCGGCCGGCGAACGAGTTCCATGACAGGTTAAGTCTGACCGAGAGGGAAGAAAGCCTGAAAATGTTGGTGGGTATTTCACCGGTAAGCTTGTTGGCAGAGACATCCAGCTGACCCAGCCGACGACAACGTCCGAGGCTCTGAGGAATGGCGCCTTCAAGCTGGTTATCAGAAATGTCGAGTTGATTCAATTGGGTCAAGTTTCCCAATGAGGATGGGATCCGACCGGACAATTGGTTTCCCTCCATCCACATCCCCTGTAATTTCTGAAACTTGCCGAAATAAGATGGAATTCTTCCAGTAAGCAGGTTAAGAGATAGGTCTATCGTGTTCAAGTTGATCAAATTCCCAAGCCCTGCAGGAATATTTCCTGTAATCGAGTTGGCCGTGAGAAACAACATATCGAGCTGAATCGACAGATTGCCCACGGAATCGGGCAACGGCCCGCCTAGATTGTTCGAAGTAACACCCAACTCTTGCAGCTGGCTGCAATTGGTCAACCCTGTTATGAACTCAAAGTCGCCGGACGAATTGGCTCCAAGGTTATTGATCGCCATGTGGAAGTACAAGAGCTTGGGAAGGCTCCCGAAGCAGGTCGGGATTTTCCCGGAGAAGCTGTTCTTGTTCAAGCTAAGACCATGGAGTTGCGAAGCGTTGCAGAAGGACGTAGGGATGGGCCCGGACATCCAATTCAACGAGACTCCATAGCTCTGGAGATTGGGGAGGGTGAACCCAATATCCTCTGGGATCCTCCCTTGAAATTCGTTGTAAATTAACGTTAGGACAGTGATTGATGACAAATTGTAGAGAGAAGGAGGGATTGTGCCGTTGAGCTGGTTCACTCCCACGACGAATTCGCTCAACCGGGAGAGCCGGCCCACGGTTTCAGGTATCGGTCCGACCAGATGGTTGTAAGCAGCACCAAAGTTGTTCAGCTTCGACAGGTTCCCCAGCGAAGCAGGGATCGGGCCGGTTAGTTCGTTGGTCACGATCCTGATCACCTTGAGGTTCGACAGGAGCCCGATTTCGGACGGGATCGGTCCGGTCAGGCGGTTGTGAGACAGCCGCAGCTCCCTGAGCTGGGCGCATCGGGTTAGATTGACCGGAATCTCGCCTTCGATCGAGTTCGAGGTGAGATTCAGGATCCGGAGGTGGAGGAGACTGCCGAATTGTTGTGGGATCTCGCCGTGGAGGCTGTTGTTTGTGAGGTGTACGGTCTGGAGGAAGCTGAAGTTGGCAATGTGTGGAGACAGGGCGCCTCTGAGGTTGTAACCTGGCAGGGACAGAGAAGTGACCCTCTGTTCCTGGCTACATGTGATTCCCACCCAGTTGCAGAAATGGAAGGAGTCGTTCCATGATTCGAGACCGCCATTTGTTATCGCTCTCTTGAATTCCAGTAAGGCGAGCCGGTCTGTGAAGTTGTTGCTGCTGCTGCTGCCTCCTCCTACGGATGCGAAATCGAATGAGACGACGATGAGTAGTGGGAGAAGCAGCAGCTTCAGGGGAATACAGTGATGGGTCTGCTTCATTGTTTGGGGGGTTTTTTTTTCTTTTGCACTTGGGAAAGGTGGAAACTTTTGTCTGTTTTTTGGTTCTGGAATTGGTGGGGAATTCGGATTGAGCAAGTCGGCGTTTTATAACAGGCAAATTCATATAACTTACTGTGTTCATTCAAGCTAGGCAACGACTTTCAGTTGTAAGTTGCAACAGAAGCTTGATTGTGGCTGCAGGGATGATAAAATTAAGAATTTACACAATCAAGCTGGCTTGACTTGCGCAATTTTCGACCAATACTATGTTCTTGATGATTTCATGATAGAATCTTTTGCTATGACATCCGAATGACATAACAACGGATTGACATTCAATGAATGCAGAAGTCAATCAACCCTAATTTCTACAGCCAACCGGATCTTAGAAATGAGCAGAAAAATTGATGGCACTGATCGAATTTGAATAAAATTCAGCAAGAATGACATAGTTAGATAACGGCCTAGCAACGAAGGGAAAAAGAGTTCATGAATGGTCCCCTTTCTTCTTTCTGGAACATAGCTACAAATTGCTTCTGTTGGATTGTATCAACTATCAACGCATTTATTAACAGTTTGGACACCTCAACTTGAAACAAAACCTTTCATGGGGTGGCTGTTGGAACGATGGGGCGTAGTCGTGAAAAAACTCAACTCTGCTCAAGACCAAAAAGGACACAGACGATTCTGGCGGTGCGCAAAAAAGAAAAAATGATGAGAAAAGAACCCAGCAGAACTATGATGAGCCATCCTTCTCGAGCTTTTCGATTTCTTCCTGCCGCTTCCTCTCAGCCTCCTGAAGCTCTCTCTCGGCATCCTCCTCTTCCTCTATTTGGTCGAGATCATCGAATTCCTTGGTAGCAGACATAGCTCTGATCACAGGATCTCGTAGCTCGCCTATGATCCCACCACCAACTTTGTATTCTTCTTCATCTCCAATCAAAAACAGTCGCTGGTCAGGTCCTGATGCCATTGGGATGTCAACTGCCAATAACCTCATATCATACTGCCACAGGAAAGACGAAGAAGAACAACATAAGCAGACGGATTATACCGTGATTTTTAAGGGCAAGCATGAACTCTAGAACAGAGGATGTTCTGCGACTATTAACTTCCATCCAGACTTTCAGGGGTGGTCAAGTATAAAAGGACTTCATATTCTATATTCTTAAACCCGCCATTGTCAAACAGATGCAGAGCAATGTTTCCATGAGTAACACAGTTTCTCTAGCAAGGGATTGCACAAAATCTTTTGTAAGGCTACGCAAAGCATCCCAAGAAATGGATGGATTTGAACTCTCAGGAGCTTCTGGATAGAGCACTAGGATATCAAACGCTCAATCTAACATATCACCCTCATGTCTTCATCAAAGGGGGAAAATCATTGTCTTATGGGGGTAGGTGGCGGAGGGTTAAGGAGGCCCTTTATCCAGGGGCTCACACAATCGGCCATGAAATATTACTCTTAATGAAAAATGGTTTCCTTGGTATACTTCGCTATTGCAAAAACAGACATAAACTCACAAAGAACTGCAATGACATTCACACGACAACTTTCGAAGTGGGGTCAGTTATAACATCCAAAACCTAGAAGATCCTACGATGAAAATGACTCCACTCCATATCAGAGCCATTACAAGAAAAAGTAGAGAAGCAAACCTGGCCCTTTTTCTTCTTAACTTCAACGCTGACTAGACCTTTTCTCTCCGATCCTTGAACTGGGAAGATGAGAAAACAACGTTTGTTGCTACGTGTTGGCTTGAAATTCTTCATTCTAATCCCTCCCCCTGACATCACATAAGCTCTTAAGTCAGTTCCAGCAAGAGGAGCACCCATGACTTCCAAAATCCCGGCATCTGTATTTAGCCGTGTCATAACCATTCTATAAACCTTATCAGGGTTAATTGTAAGTCTTGAGCGAACGTATAGACCCTGCATTAACAAATCAACGTTAGACACAAAACAAGAAATGCTAAGTCAATTAATTTTGAGGCAACAACACTACTATTGATTAGTGGGTACTTCACAATCCACATAAACCAGCAAATTCAATAAGATGACCAATTCAAGGAAGGAACAAAGATGTGTCATGCACAAGACATTGATATGACAGAGCGTCAAGTACTGCGATCGTGGGAAAAAAAAAAAACTGAAACACACCCAGTAGCTCTATACCTGTAAACCACAACTATAGCTTATGAGCAAGTAGCCTAGCAAAAGATCACCACGTTATGTTGGCCGATGGCACAAAAAATATAAGCTTTCCACTCTGGAGCATTTTTAACTATTAGATTTTCCTTCACTCGACAAAAAGATAACTAAAACATTGAAATATCAAAGGATTCATAATTGCTGAATCATAACTCATCAGGAAGCTCTCAGACATCAATGAAGTTTCTCTGTTCTTGTCCATTATACCTGTCAGTTTCATCAATATCCATATCTATCACTTCTCTAAATTTCCCAAGCCGTAGCTACTGTTTCTTCCACCTCTCCATCCATAATAACCCTAATCAACTACTTTTTTCTTGACCGAACATTGGTTCTCACGCTGTCCACAACCCCTTTTCCACACAATTGCTAGTCTTCATATTCCTTCAAACTCTCCCCTTAATAGCAATCAATATTTCCAAAAGTTGTGCTTACTGTTATTAGTTACAGCTTCCATCCAATATCCTGAAATCTTATTTCAAGCATGATGCTGTTTTGGAAAGAATGGGAAAATGAGAAGAAAAGAACATAAACCGTATGCAATAGAACTCAATCTCCCATGTTGAACAAGGAACATGTGCATTCTACGGATGAATACGAGAATGTATTCCATCAAGACAAATCATCAAATACAAAACACAAATCCCTGTTACTTAGTTACCAAATGACAGGACCGTCATTATCTGATAATGAAAACATTATTGCAGAGGATGGGTGTATACTTTCGCACTTTTCATAAAGCATGTATACTCCTTTCATCATTTGTCGGTTCTTACATAGTTTGGTTCAGTAGACTGAGACCATGACAAGAAGTGACCAGGACGCACGATGACTTCTGAACAGTATACTCTGCAAAACGAATACATACTCACTGCGATGAATAGCTACAAGAACAGTTGCATTCACCATCACATAGACAATTTCTCTAACTCATAACACAGAGAGCATACCACATCTAAACTAATCAACTCAGCCACATAAACAACGATCAGCTCTGGACAAATAAACTTATCCCAAGTAGCTGCGGCAACAATCACGTAGCAGAATTCAAATAGCTGGAAAACTCAAATTAAGAAGGGAAAAGGAGAGGCCAACTCACAGCAAAGGCAACGATTGCAGCTGAAAGGGCGAGAAAGCCATACTTGGCCATGCCTTCAGAGAGATGAACAAACGTGTTGGCAATCCCAAACATAACCCTCCATAGCAAAGCACACAGCACGACTGCTCCAACCCCAAACAGGAAAAGAGAATTCCTCTTCCAGAAAGCATCCAAGTGGAGACCTAAGGCTTGACGGTACTTAGACAGAACAGAGGTCACAGCCTCGGCCGGCTTCTCAAATGCCCGTTTGGCGAACTCTCCGCCGACCCTTTTCCCCACACTAGAAGGAGCTTTGAATGAGTAGTGACGAAGGCCATAGCAGTAAGTCCTGGCAAGGAACGAAGTCGAAGGATTCGGGAGCTTTGGCAGAGTTGAGGACGCGGGTTGTGAAGCAAATGGAGAGAACTTGAGGGAAGAGGGATGGGAAGTGGAAGTAGAGAACTGGGAAGGACTGGAGTGAGGTCGAGCGAGCGAGCCTGCCGGAAGTGGAACCCGAGATGAGCCGCCGGCGGGGGAGCGAGAGTAGTGGAGCCGGAGAAGACCTTGGACGATTCTGTTGGGCGAGGGTTTTGACATTGGGTTTAGATTCACAAATCACACAAACTCAACAGCATCAATTGGAAACCAAACGAAACGAGAACCAAGAATCGGAATTCAGGATGCCCGGAGTCGTAGTCGGAGGAAGTAGAAATGGGGAATTTTTTTAGCTTCAGTAGTTCCAATCAAGGGCGTGGAGATCCCGCCCGGAGGCCGGACGAACGAGGGACGACAGAGGACGGAGAAGACAGCTGCTCTTAAGAAGTATCAAGTGGCCAAAGGCAGAAGCCCGCTCGCTCAGCTGCAGTCCTCTCTTCTTCACCGCCGCGGCTATTTGTTTGTTCCTGTCTTCTTCGACCAGCTCTGGATCTGACGACTTTGGTGGGTTCGGACCTCGCCCGGGTCTAGTTTGCCGCGGAAGAAACCGAACCCCAACCAACCGACTCTCTTTCTTAATGTTGCCTAGTATGTGCCCGTTCGCTATCGATTAGTGTGTGAGCGAGACTATGATATTTTAAAAAAGTTTTAACGTTGATCTAAAAGTGAAAAAAATGATTACCGAGTGAGATTGTAATTATTAGTTTAATGGAATGAGGATTTGAGATACTGATAAGACGAAATTAATTACGTCAAAAAATTGGTGGCAGCGGTTGGAAACAATAGAAGGAGACAACTTATGATTCCACTAATACTGTTTCGAGTTGGGTTGCGAATTGGTGGGTGAATCAAAAGAGAATAGATGAAAATCCAATTAATAATAGTTGTCACAAAGGAACCAATGAAGAATAGTTGAAAGCCTAATGGACAATAACTATGATGGAAAACCTAGTGAACAATAATATCATGGGTAATGTCTATTTATTATCTAAACTTTTTTTTGGATTCTTTTTTATTAGTCAAACCTATCTAAATACTAAGAATTAGTCAAATGTTAACTTTCAGTTAACAATTTCGTTAGTAATATTGACATGGCAACATGATACTGACTTGGAAGAGACAAATTAACGACAACATTCTAAAATTTTAGTATTTTAACTAAGAAAAAAGTTACAAAATTATTAATGATAACATAAAATGACTAATATGTTGGTGCATTACGAAAGATTTGGCTAATTAATAGAATTTAAATAGGTTTGGATAGTATAAAAGAATCGGAAAAGGGTTTGGATAAAAAATATACATTACCGTAGTATCATTGAAAAAAATAGAGTTAGTATATTTGTATGGACTGAACTTTGACCAAAATAAATATCCTGGCCAATCTTTTTTATCTATATCTGGGCCAAACTATACATCAAAATAACTAAATTGGCCAAACCCGACGTTTGACCGTTAACTTGGATGGTCAAACATGTTGACTAATGGTCAATGCGCCACATCATCGCCCAGCCAGCAAAAAACACATAAAAAAATAATTTTTTCCACCTATTACCATTTATCTCTTTTATTTTTTTTCTTTTCTTTTTATATTTATTTTTAACTTAATTGAAATAATGAGATTATGTGGCTTTTTTAATTTTTGCAACATTTTTTATGCTGACTGGGCGGTGATGTGACGCATTGATCGTTAGTCAACACGTTTTTATCATCCAAGTTAATGGTCAAACGTCGGGTTTGGCCAATTTAGTTATTTTGATGTATAGTTTGGGTCAGGATGTTATAGATCGAAAAAATTGGCCAGGATGTTTATTTTGGTCAAAATTCAGGTCATACAAATATATTAAAAAAAAGATAAAGTGTACGAGCTGGGGTGCAAATATATTTAAATTACTAGCGTGGGCCCCGGCCATTTGGCCGGAGGAAGGTGAGATATGAAATTTGATAATGTAATGGGGTGTATAACTTATTATTGTATAGTTTTTTTTTGGGAAACACGTGATAAAAATAGTGAATTTTAGTAGGAAAGAGACATGAATGATGCAACGAATCAAAAATTAACCTTATGAACCAAAATCAAGTACCTGTTACCTTGTGAAACAATATTGTTTCTGGTAATATGATGAGGTGGAGTAAGTTTTATAGAAACCGAATTCCAGAGAATGGAATAAAAAATTGCCTATCCCACCGGTTTTCGGGAAATCGGCATCTCACAATCGTTGCTAGCTTTTACTCGACCCGTTGGCCGATTAATTTGCTCTATAAAGCTTCCATCTTGTCATCATTGTGCTTTCTTGTTTTTTGCCAAGCCACGATAAAATCTAAAGAAATCAAGAATGAACAACACAATTTGGGATAGGAACCACTTTTCCTGTATCCCTAGAAAATGGTGGTAAACACGGACTCACCTGCCAAACTGGTTTGGATTGAGGTTTTATCGGGTATCAGGGAACCATGTGATTATAAATTAGACTTGATCAAAACGAGCCAAAACTTGAAATTCAGCTTGTTTGACTGACTCATGCCAAACTCTAATTATTCTTTACTTTTAAACTTTCTATTTGAAAATAAAAAATAATGAAAGAAAAGAGATGACTGCAATTCGCCATTTGCACATCACTTATTCGGGAATAAAACTATAGAATTTCGAAAGGAAACTGAAAATGTTTAGGATCGTTTTAATGTTAAAAATAACCAAATAGATCTTTCTGTTTAGTTTTTTTACAAACAAATACCAAATGATTCTCTATAATATACACTATAATTTAATCATTATGATATCAAATAATTACATAATATATATTTGAAATGATAAAAATTGGACTAATTGGGTTGGTCGAGGTTGAACCATTGGATAACTTTAAAATACATTATATTTTAGCCACTAAGATATAAAATAATAGCATAATATATATTATGCTATAGAAAATAGCTTGTTTTAGAATGGCAAACCCATGATGTTCATTTGTTTTACTTGATGGGCAAATCTCGTGTAGGTCAGGCCCATTCAACTCTTTTATTTTATGATTAGCGGTTAGCCCATTAGAACCATGCATTAGTTTATTGTTAATTTTTTCTTTTTAGCTATAAAAAGGAATATTGTTTTTGCCTTTTCATATATATTTTACCACCACGGAGAAATAAAAGGACTTAAAGAAAAACAATTGACGCTCCTGGACCCGTTTAAATCCGCATGTGTACGGTAAGTTGGCCCGTTCCACAGAGGAAAAAGAAAAAAAAATTGACACTCCCTATTTTGCCCTTCCTACAAACGCTCCTGGAGCAGGAAATTTGAAATGGGGAAATGGTTTTTTCCTCTCTGTGATTATATGTTTTTAATTTAAAAAGATACAACAAATGTACTTAATGTGATTGGTTATGATCTTTGCTTTTCTTTAAAGTGGTTATGGTTCGAATCCTAGTAAGTGTCTTTTTAATGAATAAAAAAAGTAATTGTGAAGATCAAAATATTCTTCCTACTTTCACTCTGGATGCAGGAAATTTGAAATGGGGTTCAAGTTTTCTCATTTGGCTTTTATTTATTGTGTAGATTAAAGTGTGGAAAGTGATAGGTGTATCGGTCATGTCAAAGGACATGTATGTTATGAAGTCAAAATGACCATGTAGGTTCTAAAAACAGTCTCATATTGTAAGAAGGGTGTGTTATTATGATTTAGTGAAGTGCTTAGAACGAGGGGCGTAGATAGGATTTTGTTGAGTGTGGGTTCATTTAGAAAAAAATACATACGATAAAATAGTTTTGTTAGCGTTTTAAACAGTTTATTAAATAATTTTGTATTTACAAAAATTTGGTAATAAATATATGTCGAAACTATCAAGAATATCACTCTATATAGCAACCAATTATTATTGATTTAGATAGATATTTACTTTTGAATAGAGTTCTTCGTCAAGACCGTTTAGTATCAATAACTTGAGTTGTTGTGAAATATTTAATAATGGACTTATACGTTTAATATTTACTGACACTTCCCCGCTAACAAAAATCAACTTATACGTGCTTAAATTTTTCTCAAATCTGAATATCATGTGCTAAACAAATGGAGTAACCAAAATTCGAACATGATCTCTCGATCAACCATTCCCAATTAGAAGTGCCTTAAATTTCATTCTCAATTAACTATTATACTATTTTTTTCTCACTTTTGTTCTTAGAAGCCGCCTGTTACACTCTCCATACCCCTTATCGATATAAAATTATTTTTATAAATTAGCTATGATTTGGTGGAAATTTGTTCGAGATATTGAACAAGTACATCTTTAATTTTTTACTGATGATAAGCATCATTGTCATTTGTAAAACTCATTATAAAAATATTGGATATGCAACACACAACTTATAAATCATACATCAAATATTTGATAGGTCAACCATTTTCATATAAATACGTGTTAGTTTTCATACTCGATTAGCTATCATACCTAATTTACCATTTTCCTCCCGAACCAGGGTAGGTGCGAGGGCCACCCTCTAACCTTCTCCTTTCGCCACGGCTTAGAATCACGAAGTTCTTCTAGTAAACCATAAATAATGGTATATGAAATTTGCCTATAATAGTCATGGCATTTAGTTGGTTGTAATATATGCAAAACCTTGAGGTACAATCTTTTTTAAGTACTAACAATTTAGGTGAAGCAAAAGGACTTCAACTAGTTTGGATGTACTAGGATGCAAGCATATCTTCACTAATCAATATTCCATTTCAGATTACGAGGTATAGATAGGGATCGCAATCAAACTCATGATCGCGAGTATCCGACTGACCTCGACCAAGTCAACGCAGGGAATCCCCGCACTGAGTGTGAGGCGGGTATGGGTAAAACCCGCAAAACGTTTAGCCTCCCCCATCACCTACACATACCCATACCCGCCCCCACAAAGAGTATTTCTTCACATATAAAAAATACATGGATCAAATTATAACCTATCAATGATATCGATGATAAGTCAAGAATAAAAATAGAAATACAATTTTTTTTTTTGATGAATAAAAATAGAAATACAATTGAGTGGCCACTCAAATCAAAACCTAATCCCTTTCCCTCATCTCTCCTTTCACTCTCACTTTTCCCCTCGTGTTAACAAGATTATGTTAGTTAGTTAGTTATTGCTTAGTAGATGTATCAGGGTCAGCGAATAATGATTTGGATTACATTCTTTTCTATCTTATGGATTAATGGATGTTTTAGGATAAAATGCTTTGAAATGTATTAAGAATTATTGCCTCTTTGTTGACTTCCTGATATAAGTAGGTGCCTACATGTAAAATTTTAGCTATTATAATGTTAGATGTAAGGGGTGGGTATTACCCACGGGTGTGGGGATGGGTTTGTAAAATCTTCCCCCGCATGGGTATGGGGTGGGTATGAGTTTGGATATTTGAAAGCAGAGATGAGGATGATTTAGGCAAACCCGCCCCATTACCATCCTTAGATAGATAGTACCTATAGGGTCTTAGGTTAACATGTTTGGCATTTGGTTGAAAGGTAATGGTAACAAGATCTGGATGGTGGTAAGGAGGTTGGTTTGCCAAATACATCGGTAATGTCATTTAGCACAAACTGAAGAAAAAATGGAACATTCGCAGATCAACTGAACAACTGTCCAACACAAGTGGGAACTTTCTTCCTGAAGAATTGTCATAATCCTTTAGTAGACATCACCTTGCAACTCCCATATAAACTCTTTGTACAATAGACAACTTAGCAAAATGGTTCCATAAGCAAGCATCACCCCTGGTAACAATTCACACATGAGGTATGCTATTTTCTAGTCACAGAGCTCATGCATTCTAGTAACTTCTTCAGGTTGTTCTTCCATAACCTCTTCAACAACTTCACTTCCTTTATCCTCACCCCAGTCAACAGGAGGTAGAACTCATGTTTCATCATCCTAGATAACATTCAACTTGCGTTTAAGCTTGCATACATGACCATAGATATAATGATCACCACATTTGTAGCATGCCCACTTAGTCTAGTTACTCCAACATGCATAGTTAGCATAATTATGTTTAGTGGACACATGCTATTTAGAAGCTTCACATTTCTTCATGGCAGGGTTACCCCCACTAGTTGAGAAGTTTGGTGGTGGCTTGAAACTGAAACCTCTTATTAGTCCATTCTCCACGATTATCACTAGAAAAATAAGGAAAATTGAGACGAGGAAGCTGATATTGATTGCTACCACAAGGAGGCAATCGATTCTCCTAAACAGGCTTCTCGATGTATAAGTTGTTGTAGAATCCCTCGATTGTCTTTTGAGACAACTAGTGGCCCTTCCGCTCCCACAACAATCACCACTGGGCAAGGTTGACCTAATCCGGCCAATCTTCTCACTATCTTTTTAAATTGAGCTTCGAACGACCTCAATTCCATCCAATCTTGTATTATATGTCACTAATTGATGGAAATGGCCATCCATTCGAGCATTCAATTTTTGAAGCAGAGTCGAATGCAAGCAATGTTGACCTCCTACTTCCTTCACTTGCTATTTAATGGCGGTAATGTTCACACGAAATCCTTCATATTTTGTGTCTATGGCGGTGAATTGATGCGATTTGAGAAAGAATAAGTTGCTTTCTGTTCTCGTCATCACCATTCTGTTATGGGTTAGCTCTGATACCAAGTTGCAATGCCCCATCTCGATGAGTGTATCAACTTGACGAATTGATTGGAATGGAATAGAGCTTGATAGGTGAAATTTTGGAAGAACGACTCATAAGGGGTAACATAGAAGAGAGAAAACAGAGAGGAGGGAAAGTTTGTTCTAATCATTCATGACCCTTGCCAGTAGTGACACAAATAGTTTATTCCCTATCCTGGCATTTTACAGTTTGATCCTCACATTCGTTTATTGTTACACTCCAATCCACTTATTATGCTACCTTTACTTGTGAAACAATACAAAGAAGACAATCATTACAAATGAATGATGCTGACATGATTGACAGTGACGATGTTGTGCTTAGAGGCTAGAGGAATTGTTCATTGCAGTCGAATTAACTGGCTGCGAGAAGAGTTCAATCTCGAGCGAGAACTTACAGTTCGGGAACAAGAAAGAGGTGTGTGCTTGGAGTGGAAAAAGGCGAGCGCGAGACGATTGATTGAGACGACGTTGCCGAGGTGATTGACGCGAGCGAAGCGAATGAGAGGGCTGTGATGGTCATTTGTTGTTGTAGTTGTGATGTGTGGAAGGAGAAATAAAAATAAGGGGTTTGGTTTTGCACTAAAGTGAAAGGAAAATTGGCAGAGGAGGCTGAAAGAGACATATGAATTTTCGTTATTTCTACTTTCCGTATATACTAAACGGGTCGTATTGAGATCTGACGTGCTCTCAAACAAATGGTCAAACTAGTCGATTCCTAGGGCTTGACAGATTCATGCCTAACTTCAACTAGGATGTTGCAGTCTGGTTAAGCCACCAGACCGAGTGAACTTGTCCAACCCAATGGTCCAACCACGGGTTGCCAACCTTGCCCCATACACTATATTCAAATTTGAATCAAATTAGGCCCACGAGTCCATGACATTGATATCCAGCACCCAATAACGATATGAGTACTCAATTCGAAACAATAAACCCAGATGGGTCTGACCCAAGCTTAACCTATTGAATCTTATCAGTTATCATCGTCTTCCTCCTTGCAGTTCTTCGTTCGCGCCTAGCCCCACCACACCCCTCAGTTTTCGGAGGAAGGGTCGAAGCCAAAACTTCATAGACGGTAGAGGCGGTAGAGAGATTAATTTCACGGCCGACGGGAGAGAGCAGAGGTTAGTGGTGCTAGAGAGAGAACTCTTCACCAATTCCTTCTCCTCCTCCTTATCCCCCTCAAGAACTGCTCAAGGCAAGAACTACTCCTCCCCACTCCTCTCCGCATCCCAATCGATCCTCCATCACTGTTTTCGCTTTTGTGTTTCTGGAAAGTATGAATTCGGTTAAGTCGTGGGTTTCTGGCCATTGCTTGATATCATTGAAAGGTTTGCTCAGGCAAGATAATCATTTTCTGGTTTCGTGTTTTGTGATTAATTAGTTGCTGCCTTCGCTGGCAACCTTCCAAATGCTGATGAAGCTACCCATTCGAGCTTGCTGAGAGTTGATGTATTTCTTTGATTCAAACTTGGAATTTCTTTTTTCTGGCAGCAAGTGAATCAGTAATGTTCTTTTATTCAAATTTGGAATTTCAAAATTTTCAGGCCAGTAGCTCAACTGGTTTCTTCAATGGCTTCTTCCGCTTTACTCTGCTGTCTCACTTCGGGCCTGAGTGTGGATTCCACCACGCTTGACGTTGAGTTTCCGCTTATGCTGTTTTGTTGTCTTGGTTGCAAATGACTATTGGCAGGATGTTTTCTCTGGTGGTATTCTAGCTAATTTCAGTTGTTTATGCTAGAAAGTAGAAAGTAATCCCCTCTTTTGGTATTGGTTTCCAGTCTTTTGCTTTGTTTTGCCTATAGTTGAGAATTTGTATAGGGCACTTCTGAAATGCGGTAATTCAAAGTGTCCTATATTCTTCCCATTTGGAAACCCTAAAAATTCAATGGAAGGAAGATTTGGTTGAATTGTGCTACTGCTATAGTACAGTTACAAAGGAAATTAGGAGTGTCCTTTCTTATTTTGGATTTATCCATTTAGGAGTCTTTTGATTAATTGTAGAATTCCAATTAGTGCTGCCGTATCTAATTGGTGCGGAGTGTTATGAAGTTTTCTTTAATTCATATCATCTGGATCATAGCCAAATAAATCCATTTGGTCCGACCCAAAACCAACCCAATCCAGAAATAATAGAAATAAATTTGGGTCAATACCCATATGGGTCATGGCAATCGAGTCAAATTACCCGATGGGTTGAACCATTGCTAATCTCACATCATTCTTAATCTTAAGCTCCATGCTCTTTTCAATCTCCTTCTCCAGCTCCTCCCTAATCTTCAGCTCTTCATTCAATCTCACCATATTGAATCAAATTCCCAGTGCCTTGTAATGCTATGGAGGAAGACCATTAGCTCTCTCGATTACTAACAATAAGCTTGGATAATCTATTTAACTAGCTTGAGTGTCTATTTAGTTCCCTCTGACTGTTCAATTCAGCCAGCTTTTTTATTCTGTTGTTAGTTCTGAATTATCTTTTCGACTTGGGATTTAAGGATATGTAAGAAATTCATCGAGCATATTGCATAACCTCTCCCCGTTGTTTGAGTATGGTCTAACCTTTGGTTCGGCATATTGCATAACCTCTTACTCAAAGTAGCAGCAGTAGCAGACGATTGCAGAAAGTAGCAGTTTAGCTTATTTACCTTACTCTGCTATGAAATCGAAATGGATGGTTTCAAGATAAAAACTTGTGTTTTTCCTTGATTCATGCGGACAATCCTTACTCTGCTACAGTTCTACCACATGAATCTAAGGGTTCGGTTAGATTGGTGTTTTGATTGAAATTGATGTCGTAGGTAGGACTCTGTATCATCTGCTTTGGATCAAACTGTTGCTCTTGCTATGTTATACCCACTTAGTAATATTTTTAGGTGCCATGAACAGGTTGTCAGTTACACTTCCATCTTTTGCCAGTCTTAGAAGTAGAAACTAACTCTCACTGTGTTAACATTTGGAACGAATTCGGGTGCAATTGTTTTTAGTTAGATCACAATTGGTTGTAGCAAAATTCCCCTCCTTCAGTGGACTTTGGTTAACTTCTAGATTATAATTCCCGTTGACAGTGCAGTAGTAGCAAGAACCTCTGGTACTAGAAGTGGAATGGTCTACCTGGAAGCCGGATCACTGCTCTTGTTGACGGTTGAATCTGCATTTTTAAATCAACACATGAAATTAGTGTGCTTGATAGCTTCCCTTCTTGTTTGCTTTCTTAGGTCAATGAGTTAAGTTAGTGAACATTCAAGTGGTTCTAAAAGTTGAAGAAACTGAAAAAGTAGTAACTCTGAATATTCCACCTAGTTGGAATTCACCTTAGCGTTGCATATTTTATGATTGCGGTAGAACTGGTTGACCTTGTCCTTATCAATTTGACAATTTGTGTTGTAATTAGTAACATGCATGGTCCTTCTTCCCGTGCCGGCCTTTACTGTTCTATTGGCAGTTCAAATTGTAAATTGGCTAATTGAAGCTTTTATTTTGTTTGCAGGAGCTTTTCACGTTCTTTGATTGAGAGAAATCTTGCAAGTGAAGGAAAACCAGAAACTGAAGGTTAGTCTTATTTTTACTTACAGTCAGAATGAACGGAAGGTGATTGAAGTTTAAGGATAGATTCTGTGAACTATGTTATAGCCTATAGGATAGATTATGTTCTTCTATTCAATTGCTCTTCTCCATCTTGCCAGTCGTGGAAGCGCTCCCTCTTTTGATAATCCAGGCACTTCCAGTACTAGAAGCAAACAAATGAAGAAACTGCTAGCTCTAGGATTCGAGGGTTCCGCTAATAAGATTGGAGTTGGTGTCGTTGCACTAGATGGCACAATCCTGTCAAACCCTCGCCACACCTACATCACTCCTCCCGGACATGGCTTTCTCCCCCGAGAAACCGCTCACCACCACCTCCAGCACGTGATTCCTCTTGTCCAATCTGCTCTGGAGGCCGCCCAAGTGACGCCCGACGAAATTGATTGTCTCTGCTATACCAAGGGCCCTGGGATGGGCGCACCATTGCAGGTCTCGGCCGTGGTTGTTCGGGTTCTCTCGCTGCTCTGGAAGAAACCAATCGTTGCGGTTAACCACTGTGTCGCCCACATTGAGATGGGTCGGGTTGTGACTGGGGCACACGACCCGGTTGTGCTCTATGTCAGTGGTGGGAACACGCAGGTGATTGCATACAGTGAAGGGAAGTATCGGATTTTCGGGGAGACGATTGATATTGCTGTGGGGAACTGTTTGGATCGGTTTGCTAGGGTTTTGCAGCTTTCCAATGATCCTGCCCCTGGATATAACATTGAGCAGGTAACTCCTTGGTGCTCGGTTTTGTACTTTCTCGTGGATTGACTTGAAAATTGTCTTGCTTTTGAACTTGATGCTGTACATTTCAACTCCCCAGCTTGCCAAGAAAGGGGAGAAGTTTATAGACCTTCCCTATGCTGTCAAAGGGATGGATGTTTCCTTTAGTGGGATATTAAGCTACATCGAATCCACTACTGAGGAGAAGCTAAAAAACAATGAATGCACTCCAGCGGATTTGTGCTACTCTTTGCAGGTAAACAGTTTGGCACATTGGGGGTTTGTTGTGTGTGTGTTTCTGTGGCCTCACATGCTGCGATATTGATGATGCAGGAAACAGTGTTTGCCATGCTTGTGGAGATCACAGAACGTGCAATGGCTCACTGTGACAAGAAAGACGTTCTTATTGTTGGTGGTGTGGGTTGTAACGAGCGGTTGCAAGAGATGATGAGAACGATGTGCAGTGAACGGGGAGGGACGCTGTATGCAACTGATGATAGGTATTGCATCGACAATGGAGCTATGATTGCGTATACTGGTTTACTTGCCTTTGCACATGGTGGAACGACTCCGATAGAGGAATCGACGTTCACCCAGAGGTTCCGGACTGATGATGTCGATGCAATTTGGAGAGAGAAGGAGACTATAGATGGGAATGGCAGTGGGAGATAGCACTTAAATTAAAGCAACATCCATGGTATGCACTTCTAGGCCTTGTCAGAATCAACGGGAGCGATTGACACTTGACAGTGGTTGTGGAGTTAAAATTCTAGTCATAGATCAATTGCTTTTGTTCGAGAGAGAACATGAGGAGAACAGAAGTATTGTAGGATTTATGTAGTTATGGTGTATGCCTGAACCTTTTTTCTGGTCCATGAAAGGACTTGTCATTGAAGTGAACATCTTGTATGGCGCAAAGGAATGATGGTGGTGAATCCCAATTGGATTTCCAGATTTTATTTGTGTATCGTCTAGTATTTGGAGGTCATGTGAAGTCTCTACTGATGTCCACTTCACTTGAAGTTGTAATCTGGTTATCAAAGATCAATGTAATGGGAATTGGGAAGTGATAAGTGGATGCCAATACCTACTATTAAGCCTTTTGTTTTGTTGTAATGCAGTGATCCAGACAACAAAGCAGATTCGAATCCATTTGGCCGGAAGTATTATGTTTCTTTTAAACCAAGCAAACTCAAAGTCACGAAATTGAGTATCCAAAGCATCGAAGATTACATGTCTTGGTAAAAGTAACAACATGAAGAAAATAGTAGAGTTTCTCATAGGATTTGAAAACTACTATCCATTAAACCATTCATATCACTTGGATTTGTCTGTTAAGGTTACGAGAGATCTAAGAACATTTGGGCTAATCTTATCAGACAGAGCACCTTGCTCAGAAATCAAAAGCGACTTCTCTTTCACATAACTCTGCAACTTCTTGGCCTCGTAATCGAGTTTTCCCTGATCTGTGTGCGAGTCGCAGCAAAATTCAGTTAAAAATAAACTCAGCATCTAATCTTGTTCTCAACAATGTAATTCCAAATAAGTCTTGGGTATTATAAAACAACAAGCTTTGCTTGGAATCAGACCACTGACGTACCTGTTTCCAAAATGGTGTGAGCAGCATGAAATGGAACTCTTGCAAAAACATCAGCTCCTGGGAACATCATCCAAGTCCTCTCTTCCGAGTCATGGTCACCGCACGTTGTACAGACCTCCTTCACCATAGGACCTGGCACAATGTCCTTCATTATGGACTCAAAAGGGGATGGAAGACTTGTTTTGGTTGTTCGAGCCCTCTTCCTTAGTGCTGTAAGTGCCTCCCTGTTCCCATTCCTTAGTCTGTCATTTTCAATCACCTGCACCGGCCACATTGTTGTACAGATAGATAAGATCATACAAGTTAACGTTTCTGTCGCGTTCAAAAGTGGATCGTTTCAGCAATAAGAAAACATATACAACAAGGCTCAACGATTCCTGATCGATTACCTTATGCCGAGCTAGAAGTAACTGCTCTCCTTCAGTTTCAAGCTCCAGTAACCTTTCTTGAAAAACCTTCATATTGCCATCCATCTTCTTGAGCTAAAAGTAGTAAGACAGGAAAATGAAACAATCAGTGGAATTAGCAGGAAGCAGAATACTTGCTTAGAGTCTTGTTTCTGCATGATGCCTTCTCTAACACCCTGTCATATCCGACCAGCGATCAATAATTTCAGAACATAAGAAGTTCCATTTCCGTTGAACAAAAGCAACACAAGCAAGCCCCCCACACAAACGATAGTCAACTGAGGAAAACCAAGACACCTGCAAACCCGAGTTGAAGCATATAGACAGCCAGAAAAGAAACGGATAAGGTAAACTCTACACGCTGTGTGTTAACAGCAACCACGATCAACTCTGTAAAAACACATTAGCAAGTGCCAAGATACTTATAGGCTATAGGAAGCACGCGATTTAACACTCCCATTCAAGAAGCTACAGAACCAAAGCAATTGCGTTCAAACGAAGGCAAGATAATGCACCACAGAACAATTGGCTAAAATAAATAACCTCACTCTGAAGAGAACATGTCAATCACCACTCCTGCAAAGCTCAACAATGAAACAAGCTAAACTAACTTGATAAACTAGGATGCCAAGCTCTCGCGAAACAAAGTACAACCAACATCACTTGATTCCTACCTTTCTTAGATTATGACCAATCCTAACAAAACCTATTTCCCTCCTGAAGTTCGAGCAGAATTCCAATCAAATCCCTTTTCTAACCTGGTCAGAGAGCACTGTGGCACTAAGTAACCAAAACGTATACACCTGAAAAATCCCAAGTCTAAGGTTGCAATACCTGAGCTTGAACTACGCTATTTCACCATGACTAACCAAACCTACTGCGTAGTGAGAATTCATGAAGACCCGTTTTCCCTAGAACTTGCGGTCTCATTCGTGTAGAATAAAAAAATGAATGAAGGGGGTGGTGAAAGAGAACCTGAAGACGGAAGCGGCGGACCAGTTAGCTGCAGATACTTCCCCGGCGGGCGTTCGTCTGTGCCAGTCAGGGTGAGGGGGGGGGAAATCCAGCAGAGAAGAAAAGGACACAAGGAAGAAGAGGACGTCAATACTGTTGGGCCCAACGCTAATAATGGCCCGGCCCAAAACAAACAGCAGAACAAATATACCACATCGGGAACCAGAGGCGAGAACGAGGTGTTTATAATTCGACGGGACGACAACAAATAGCACGACCTTACTTGAACAGGATCTGTTCTATAGGCTCGTACCTCTGTGTCCTTTAGCACTAAGGAGACAGGATCCAAAGTCTGGTGGATGAGATGCGGCCACGTGATCAGAGCGTGATTAACGGTGACGATGGTCCCTTGGATCGTCCGATCTGTAGAGGATCGTTCTCAGCCGTTTAGATGGCCTGGGATGGTCACGTGGCTTTCTGACAGACTTTCAATCTTTTTTTTTTTATGCCAGCCCTTTGATTTTTTGAATTTGAAGAACCTCAGCCGAAGATCGTAGCAAGAGGGACGACGATGAAGATTTTCCACTATCCATGCTTGGAAGACAACTACGCCTACCTGTAAGTTGTCGCAATTGAATGGAGCTCTTTGGGTTAGGGTTTATGCTTTTATACGAATCTCCTGCTGTTCATGGTCCTGATTGTTAAAATTTGAAAACGAGATCAGGATTATAGACGAAGCCACCAGAGAAGCTGCAGTCGTGGATCCCGTGGAGCCGGAGAAGCTCGTGAAGGCTGCCGAGGAGCATGGAGTTCAGATCAAGCTTGTTCTCACCACTCATCATCACTGGTTCTGTATCAGTTGTCCGAAATTTTGATTTGGGTGAGGATGGTGAAGAAAAGAGAGTGACTCTGGCTTATGCGTTGACTGTTTTGTGTGTGTTGGTAGGGATCATGCCGGGGGGAATGAGAAGATGAAGGAGATGATCCCTGGGATCAAAATCTATGGAGGTTCACTTGACAAGGTCAAGGGTTGCACCGACGAAGTTGAAAATGGTGACAAGATATCCCTTGGCGCTGATGTTAATATAATGGCTCTCCATACCCCTTGGTACGAGTTCTGTCAACAGTCACTCTTTCGAATTCAGTTTTGGCAACCTACGGATTATTGTGTGCATCAGTATGAGTTTGATGGTTATGTGAACCGAGTCTTGGTTCTTGTTTGTTGGAATTTCCTGCCAAACGATGGTTTCGTAGCTGACTTAGATGTTTAGGCATCTCTTTTCACTTGCCTTTCCAACGAACTCTCTGTTGTAAGCATCATTCAACTTGTTGGTTCGTTGGTCTCAGGGTTTCTGCAGTTCATTCATCTAGTTGGTCTATTCAGTATGAGGAGACATTGAACTTATAAAACTAGAGAACTGTAATCTTGTGATATTAGTCTTTCCCCATTTCCTTGTTTTTCTCATGGCTGTACTGAATTAAACTATTCCACTTCTTTCTGCCTACTTCTAATTTCAGCCACACTAAAGGCCACATTAGTTACTATGTCACTGGCAAGGAGGCAGAAGACCCAGCTGTTTTCACTGGTGATACCCTGGTGAGTGTGGAGAAGGACCTTGTTATTTGAACCTCAGCATCATCAACAGAAAAAGGCACACACTTTAACAAACACACTGGTGTCTGTTGGTTGTCATCTTAGCTGAATGTTGTTGCTAGTACCATCTTTCAATATGGTTTATTGAAATGCAAAATTCAATTGCATATGTCAACGTGAGGGGATATATATTCTGTTTAACTAGCATTCCCCTACTCATCTGAAAATTCATTTTAGTACTACTACTATGAGTAGCTCACTTTTTATTGCATGTTCCATATGCAGTTTATTGCTGGATGTGGTAAGTTTTTTGAGGGAACAGCTGAGCAGATGCACCAATCACTCTGTGTAACATTGGCTTCATTGCCAAAGCATACTCAAGTGTACTGTGGCCATGAGGTAAAGATTTCTCATTTTCACTTTCCTCTACCCCTCAACCCACACGTGATGAGTTGAGATGTTAAGAATTTATGTATTTTTTTAACACAACAGGTTCAAAAACCTCTTGATCTCCCCGATTATGTTGTCATTTTCAAACTTCTGCATGTTGCTTGCACTTTCATAACCGCTCATTATGATGTTGAATAATCTCAAGTAAACGTGAAAACTGTTGGGGTGTTCAGCTCTTTAGTAGTTTCTTGAGATTATAGTCTGTGGCATGTTTTAGAATCAGAGGAGAACATTGTATTGGCTCTAGTTGGTTAAGGCTCTCAATTGAACTCGTAAGATTTTAGTACCATTAGTAAGTGAAGTTGACAAATGGTGGCAATGCTGGCTCGGAGGGAGGGATGCCTAGGCTGGTTTCAGTGAGGGAAATCCATCTTCACTCCAGTTCCTTCTTTCATTATGCAAACTCAGGGGCCAGATATTAGTAAATACCTTTCCCGTAGGTGATTACTTCTGTGAATCTGTTTACACAAGTGCTAATTCTTCCCTCTCAAAACTCACTAACCTTTAAGGAAGAAAGAAGTAAAACAATTGGCTAGTACCACTCAAAGAATGTGATCACCTAGGTTCTCTTCTTCTCCTCAACAAAGCAATAAGATCTTGTTCGACTTAATAGAACGTAGTGCTGCTTTGCATCTTGGTCCTCTATTGTTTATCGATGTCACATCAGTGTTACTCATTGTCTTCACACTTGTGACATGCTTTGAGAATTTTGTAGGCTGCCTGATTGCTTTAGTTTTCCTGCACCTCTATTATAGCAGAGCATTCACCATTCTATATGGAAGAAACTCTCGCTTCTGTAGACAGCCTGTGTCCTAAGCGATTGTAACTGGTTCGCAACAACTCTAGCAGCAACCACTAACTGTAAACGTGAAATTGGTACATCCTTAAGCGTATAGACAGCCAAATAAAACATGAGTTCTCACCAGTCCTCCCAGCTTGCTTGAAAACACCATCTTCCACTCCCTTAGTTCAATTGGTTATCTTTTTGTAAATTTTCTTCCCATTATATGCTGTTAAAGGGTGGTAAAAAATGATTTCGTGTATGTTCGCAAAACTGAATGCTTAGAAAAGTACGAACCTCTTGTATAATTGTAGCATGCTACAAAATAATTGTCTCTTTTCTGAACCCTTGGTACTGGTTTCACTTGGTGCCTTTGAATCGGGTAATGTGAGAAATCTATTTTGTAATTTTGTTCCATCTATCCAGTACACAGTGAAGAATTTACAGTTTGCACAAACAGTTGAGCCCGAGAATGCGAAGATAAAGCAGAAGTTATCTTGGGCTCAGCAGCAAAGGCAGGCAGGACTTCCTACCATTCCTTCAACCATTGAGGAAGAGATGGAAATAAATCCATTTGTTCGCGCTGATCTTCCTGAAGTCCAGGTTCTATTTGAGTCTAAACTTTTTTTTTTTTTTTTTGTCTTTCTGACCGATCCACTGCATTGCCAACTGATGTCACAAACTAATTTAGTTGCACTTTTTACCCCCGAACCATTTGTTCCTGCTATTCCCTCCCCATTTTGCAAATCGTAGCCATTAAAGTCAATGTTGTGACTCTTGGGTATTTTCTCTTGGCTTTACAGGCAAAAGTTGGGTGCGGCTCTCCCGTGGAAGCTCTCGGGAAGATAAGGCAGATGAAGGATAGCTGGAGAGGCTAAAATTGCGCCGCTCATAATTCACCTTTCCTTGTACTGCCTGGATTCAATGTGCGAAAAGGGCGTCACTGAAACAAAACAGAAAGACATCTCCCCTTGTTGTACTTGTGGAATGTATGGGAGTGTTTAACAAATGTATGGGAGTGTTTAACGAATGTATGTGCGAGTGTTTGACAAGACTCTGGCATATGAGGCCCCTGTATAACACAGCTACTCTAGTCAGAAATACCTGTCTGTATCTTCAGTGGCAGCTAACTCTAATCAGAAATACAGGAGATCCAAAGGAACAACAAAAGCTCGATCTACTTATCAACTGTCCCTGTGTGTTTCAACATATAATATGTAGGAGCAGCACAGATTACCATATCTGGAGCTTCTATATCTTGAGGCATGACATTTGAGATTGCAGAATGCGCAGCAGTACTGCAGGTTTCGTGAAAGGCAAAGGAAGCATATGCAGCAGGGCAATGCGATGAGGTAAATAATGTGGTGTACAGGACTTTTTATGCAGTCAGGCGACGAGTCACATGCAATAAATTATGAGGGATGCAGACTGTATTACTGCTTGGGTCGGGATGTTGGAGGAAAGTGTGCTCTGATGTTCTTGTCTGGCCACTTGGGGAGAGCCAGAAGTCGTGTGCCTGTTCACCAACCCCACCTTAATTTGGCTAGTAGTAGTGAGCCTGTGCTTTGGAATTATACCAATGGAGGAAAATGGTTGTACTATATTCTAGTGTGTCAATGTGACTCTTGTGCTGGAATGGAAACAACTTGGCAATAATAATAATAATGTGTTGACGATATCTTCCCTGGTTAGTTGCCAATTGCCATCCTTGGCCGAGAACCGATTGTAACTACGGTTGTTGGCAGTAAATGTTGTGAAAAGGTGGCTTATATAAGAACAGAAGTCGGCAAGAGTGTTAAGTGGTGGTGGGAGTAACCATGGCAGGGTACGGGTTTTTTTCTTCTTCTCATGGTTCTCCACAGATTCTATGCTTGTTATAAAGCTGAATTAGGTTAAATTCAACACTACTTCAAAAGACAACAGACCCTTGTCCAATTATGTCATTCAATGAGAACTGGAAAAAAGAGACTCGCAGTCCTTGGAGTTGGAAGCACACACATGACTTGCTGGTTTCAACCCACATGTACGGATGGCAATGGGATGAGATATGTTACGGGTACCCCAATGCACGTATTCCGTTCCATGCTAACTGTGAGCTAGGTTGGGTAATATTCTTGTGGGTACGGATCGAAACAGATCCGAATCATCAATTTTTTGTGTTATTCGAAAACGTTGAAATTGAACTCTTCTAGGAGAAAACGAAAAATGAACAATAAAAAACTTTATAAATATAGTAAATGGAATAATTGGGTATAAAATAATTGAACAATGGAGTTTTGCACTTATTCAAAGTTCTCTTATGATGAAAATAATCAAAATTTGATTTCAGAAAAGTTAAAAAAGAGGAAAGCATACAATTAGATATTGATGTAAGTAATAAAAGAGCAGACATGGCAAGTGAGAAGAAAGTAGTCATGCCAATTGTCTCGCGCTACTATAGATCGGATAATACTCACTCCAAACAGATTAAACAAATATGAGTTGTATGAATCAGGTAAGCAATTGTCATCACTCCCGAGACGACATAATTAGCCCTCTATTGACTATTATTTGGATCACTAATAGATGTGACAATTGTGTATCCAATCCATCAATCCCATTCAATTCATCCACCAAAATATCCAATTTATCCAATTAGTTTAATTCATATCTTATTGGATTGGTGGACTATTGAAAAATTATAGTTTAGTACTTATACCCTTTATTTTACCATTTAGTACCTAAATTTTATTTTTTAAATGAAAATATCATTGGAAAATTGCCCTCTAATGCCTAACCGTTTTATTATGACATTTTAGCACCTAAAATTTTTAAAACTTTCAAATTGGACCAATGTTAAGATGTCACTTCAATCCATTTAATCCAAATCCATGAATCCAATCCATTTGCTATCTCTACCGTTAATATATAATTTCTTGGTATATTTTCATTCATAATATGCATGCCCATATGGGCAACTATATATAAACTTCTTTAACACTTAGCTTGTAATTTACTTGCACAAGTTCCACACTCGGATACTCTATATATATAAAGGGTATACCCGACATTTTCATGGTTATTTTATAATGTTTGGTGGGTAAGTATAATAGACTTATTCTTCCTTCCGTAAATGAAGGTTTGTTTCTCATCAGTATAAAACCAATACGAAAAAGGATATGTATAGTCAAAAAACAACCAAACATGGAACCACCAAACACATTGCGGAAAAAGAAAAACCAGAAGCCAGAGAGAGAGAGAGAGAGAGAGTCATGATATCTCATTGATAAAATGTCTGATCAGTTTGCTTCAATGGTTTGGTTTCTTTTTTTCTCGCTCTAGCTGTAACTTAGAATCATCTCTTCTAGCTGTTTGAGTATTTGTTCAATATATATGTTCCTGGAGTCGAGATCTCATTCATCATGTAACTTCGTTTCCTTGTGTGATTCTTCTGAGCTTTTTACTGCCTGCTGACTGACCTGCAGAAATTAATGACAACTGATCAGGATTCAGGATATATGTGCAGCTGTTCATCATTTCCCTTTAGTTTCTGCATATCTCTCTCATCTCATACCTGATTGACAGTGTCCTCTGATCTCATTTCTTTCTTCTACCCTTTTCAAACTTCAAACTTTCCTTCCCTTTGAATATTTCTGGTCATTATTACTTGGTTGGGACATATCCTTCATGACTGTACGTGTGGCAGCTGGAACTGTAGCCACCATCAAACTGGAGATCATCACATTAGTGTTCTGTTTTCCTCTTTCTCTCTGCCTAAATTTCCTCGCTTTACATAATGGGTTTGAATTAGCTGATCGGTCTGCAGGTATAAAACAATTTTAGGGTTTCTGGTTAGCTAGAGCCCCCAACCCTAGTTCGTATATTATTATTATTAAGTGATTTGATTTCCATATATTGAATCTCACCATGATTTCTAAATAAGATGGAGATCTAATTATGGGATCTGATATATCTACCAACCATGATTTGGGGAGAGAGGTAAAAGGGAGAGAGAGCTTTCCTTTAGTCCATACATGGAAGGGAATATGATATGATGAGAGAGTGAGAAAAGGGGGTGGAAGTAGCTGCCGACTCATTCACTCATTCACCACTAGCTACTGGGAAGTGCATGCAGTTAAACTAGTGAGTGTGTGAATGAAGCGGGAGATAATTCTGCTATCCCTCTCCTTCTGCGCTTGGACTGAAGGGAGCTCCTTCTCTCCTTCCTCCTTCCTCCCCCCAAACCCTCAACTCTGTCATCTCTCTTTTATCTTTTTGTGATGTGGAAGTTAGTTAAGGCGGCAGACTGACCCGATTTCTGCAGCTGGAACCATCTTTGCGCATATCAAACCAATGACTTGACCCATAAAGGTGAAGACTTTATTATCTGATGATATATGTATGTTTCCATTCTGATTCCAATGTAGACTTAGGAACCAAATTCTCAACTCACACAAATATCAGTAAGAAAGAAGCTTACGGTGTGTTTGATTTGGAACCCATTTGGTTTTGTTTGTGCACACTAGCAAACAGGCCTAGCTAGCTAGCTAGCTATCCTCAGGTAAAGCACTAGTTTCATATAGATGCTAATCCTTGTAGAGTGCAACTGATCATTCAGAAATTGGTTTATGGTATTATTGCAGATCGATGTACATGCAGCAGCAGCAGCAGCAGCAGCAGCGCTGCGCTGTTACTGAGATGCTTCAATATTAATTCCAGGGATCAACAAGTACAAACCCTATACCTAATTCCCATTAGGGTTCCACTACAGCTAGCTGCTTTTCTTGAGAGACACATAAGTAAGTAGTTTCCATATTTTGTAGCAGACGAGGTGGTGAAAGTACAAGTTGGGCTGGAGGGGTTCCTTTCCCTCTTCTCAATGCTTTTTTCATCTGGAAATGTGCTTGCATTGGTGGCTTGCATTTTCATCCAATTATATGCAGCTCCTTCCACTACTAGCTAGGGTTTACATGCATGCCCACTTTCTTTCCTTATTCCATTCTTTATAGTGCTCTCTCTCAACTGTTTATGTATGTATATTTATGGGGTTTTGTGTATTCTTGGAAATGCAAGTGTTGTTTGTATATATATGTGGCTTGGTGGTGGTCCTTTCTTTGGCAAACCTTTGTTGGGGTTTCCAACTATCAACAACAATGTAGTGGAGAAAGGGGTAAAAGGAATTTCATTTCATTGTCTTTGGAAGGGCTGTAAAGATGAGTAGGGTTTGCCAAATATAGGCCTGGTCTACTGATCTATAGCCATGTTCCTGTTTTGGAAATAGTCATTTAATTAGCTTTGCTGTTACTTCCTATGTAGTATATTCACCCTTAGATTGAAATTGAATGCTCTTCTTTTGGGTTTTAGTAGCTATTGGATGGACCTGTCCATGTCTTTTATGTCTTTTGGGAGGCTATACATTGAAGCCAAGTTGGTAATGTTAAATAGTAATAATGCATGTGGTTCATGTGTTGGTGTAACTTCAACCTTTTGGAGTCGCCCTAATTGACTTGATTCTGTCAAGCAAGTACAGTGGGAAACTATTTAAAAAGTTATATGGACCACAAATATATATATATATATATATATATATATATATATATGATGGCGTATTTGGTGCATCCACTTTTTCGGGTGCACTGTCTCATAATTGTCATTCTGAGCATGCGATTCATGTCAAAACGATATCAATTGTTGCTTATGATATTATGAACAAGAAGCACATGAATTTGAAAAAAATTCATTCAAAATTTTCTTTAATTCGAAGATTTATAATTTAGGGATTTAGGGTTAGGGTTTAAGTTTACAATTTGGGGTTTTCGGTTGGGATTCAAAATTGAAGGTTAAGGAGTTAGGGTAATAGAGTGATTTGTTATGATTCTATGTCATATCATCATATTAGATTGAGAGTACTAATTAAAGTTCAAAATTTGATGTATTATGGACACTTTTAGAGTTGGGTGCACTGAGTGCATCCAAAAAAGTGAGTGCACCGAAGTAGCCACCTCTCTCTATATATATAAATGGTCTAGTGGATTCATATGTAAAAGACTATACAACATCTCGATATAAGATTACATATTCGTCATTAAGGATTGAGTTCGATGCAAAATCTTGATATATAACAACGACTAATGATATTGCCTAGTTTCAATATGGTGTTTACAAGGTAAATTGGTGATATGACTAGCTAGCTGGACTCTTGAAAAGATTTCTTAAGCTTTTCAATGTTGATCTAGTCTAGTTGACGCAACTCTTTCTTAAGCTCGCGTGACGATACATCGTCATTGATGGGCGATCGAAAAGTTTGCCTCCCATCAGAGTCTTTTCCCTGCTTATTGTTTTCATGTGTCCTTTCCCGGTATTCTTTCAGATGCTGTGTTTGTTCTTTGGTTTCGTCATTGGGTTGAAACATCAAATCTAATCAATGATGAACCTAATAAAGAACCACTGAAAGTCTTAATTAGATCATCCAATTCCTACGAATTTCCATAAACAAAGTACCAATAAATAATCCAACACCAAATTATTCATCTACAAAACACATACCGAACAACAAACATAAAGTTAAGTTATCCTCCAAAGTAGGGTTAGAAACGTGTTAGCCTGTTAAGAAATTAGGGTTGGTTTAACTATGTGAAATTAATCTTTTAGTCCTTATTTTGTTTTACAATAACCCTTAAGTTCTTTTGGTAGATTACATCGTATTTATATTTCACAATTATAAGGCATAAGTAATGACGGGGCGGATATGGGTGTGGGTATGGGGCCGGGGACTCAAGTCCATCCTCGCCCCATCCCCACAAGATTCTTTGCGGGTGTTACCCGTGTCCGCCCTATACCCAGTCAATGCGGGAATTCCCCTCGTTGACCGAGTTGGGTCGGATACCCACGGTTACGACTATAATTGTCATCCTAGAGAAGCAATGCAAAAACTGTTTACAGCTTACACTCCCAAGTCCCAAGTGCTTGCTTGAGTGGGGGTTTGGGCTTCAGCTGTGGATCAATGTCTTGTAATGGCCCAATCGTTTTTGGGCTTTCGGTTGGGGCTTTCTCAAATCCTAATTAAGAAAGGGATTTGATTTTCCGCCAGGAGTGGATTTGATTCTTCTAAAACTTTCTTTCTTTGGTCACTACGAGACGAGGAGTCATTAGCTCCATGTTAATCTCAAATTGGAACATGAAATTTTCTTTTGTGCATGGATTTCCAATCGAATGATCATCCTAACAAACATTGATGAACGAGTTAGTTTCATGTCATATTTTCATATTTACTTATGTTCCGCTTTTAGTCAAAACCAAAACATAGCTATACGTTATCGACACGGCTTATTATAGCCACGCTTGATATATTTTGACTTTTTGACTAAATGAACTGAAAATTTTATGGTAATCAAAATTTATAAAATAGAAATGAGAAAGTATAGTTCCAACTTTTCAAGTGTACAACCCTATATTCATTACATTTTTTCTCTCGGTGAACTCAAATTTCGAACCCATCATATGATTGATGTTCTCATCTCCATATTACCACCAGAACAATCCTTGGAGTTATATTAATCACTATCTCAACTATCTAATTTGGAAGAAAAAAATGTAACAATCTAACTATTTTTGAAGATTCAAATCCAACAATGATAGAGTACAAAAATCTCAACCTAGAAATCAATTAATTTTGCCAATTAGACCATTTGAAATTGCTATCGTGGAGAATAGATTCAGGATTTGTTTTTGTTAAAATTTTAAGAAATGAAGCGGTCTAAAACATGCTTAAATGAACTTTAACCATTTTTATACGCTGACCATTCAATAATCCGATTGAACTTATAAATAACATAAAATACTCAGGTACCTTGATAACTAAAAATTATAAAAATTCATATACTTAAGAGTGATCAAATTAGAATAGCTCAACGGCCAAAACTCATTTCTTTGCGAGGAAGAGCAGGTGTTCTGTTTAAGTAAAACAGAGAGGAATCATCACTCACAGTTAAAAAAAAAAAAAAAAAACAACAATTAACAACCAAACCCTCGAATCTTATGTTGTTTTACTTGTGATATTACTGTTAATTACATTTATTTATTTGATGTTAAACACAGAGGATCACTCACAGTTCGCACGCATCTGGCCAAGCCAATTCTCCCCCCGTTTCGTGTTGCGAACTCCAAACCAAAATCGCTTTGCTGAAGAAGCTTTCCTTTCTCCATCTTCTTCTTCTTCAGCTGTCACCACTCTCCCCACACCGCGCCGGCCCCGGAATTCCCCCCAATTCCCCACATCCCAAATTCTGGTCTCCCTTCTCCTTCCGCCGTCGCCGTCGATCGACGGCTTCCACCTTCCCTAGCTATGCCGTCGTCCTCTTGATTGCTTGAACCGGACGCTTTCTCTCCCAACCCCCAACCATCCATCATGACTTCAACTCTTCCGTCTTCTCCGCCTTTCCTCTCCTCCTCCTCCTCCTCCGCAGCTCTCGTAACCTCACCTTCTCCACTCTCTCTGCCTCATCCCACCGACGGCGATGACGGCGCCGCCGCCACGCAGCTGCTCTCCGTCTCCTGGAACCAGGACTACGGCTGCTTCGCCGCCGCAACCACCTCCGGCTTCCGGGTTTACAGCTGCGAGCCTTTCAGCGAGACCTTCCGCCGGGACATCCGGGGCGGCGGGTTCAGGATCGTCGAGATGCTGTTCCGCAGCAACATCCTGGCCCTCGTCGGCAGCGAATCCAACTCCCAGTACCCGCCCAGCAGGGTCCTCATTTGGGACGATCACCAGAGCCGCTGCATTGGCGAGTTCTCCTTCAGGTCGCAGGTCCGCGCCGTGAGGTTGAGCCGGGATCGGATTGTTGTGGTGCTCGAGCACAAGGTCTATGTCTACGATTTCGCGGATCTGAAGCTCCTTCATCAGATCGAGACGTTGGCGAACCCTAGAGGGCTCTGCTGCCTGTCTCATCACCCCAACACTTCCGTGCTGGCTTTGCCCGGGCTGTACCGTGGGCAGGTTCGAATTGAGCATTTTGGGTTGAATCTGGTGAAGTTGGTTAATGCTCATGATAATCATATTGCTTGCCTCGCAATTACCATGGATGGCCTGCTTCTTGCTACTGCTAGCACCAAGGGCACCTTGATCAGAATTTTCAGTACAATGGACGGCACTCGCCTGCAAGAGGTTAGCTAGCTCTCTGACTCGCAAGTAGACAATTTTGAACTTTAGTACTCTTTCAGATACTTTTTGCCTCAAAACTGTTCCTAAGGCAGTAAGTGGGTTGGAGTTCTTTCAAACTGGGTTTGAGGGATGATTTCGAACTGATGATGAATGCATTTCTTTTGACTGTTACTTACTACCATCAATTTGGAGCATTGGGGTGTAACTAGCATCCAAGAATTTCTTTTTTAGTGTTTTTAGTCGTTGTCATTAATGATCTTGGTCTCACCACAGTATTATTCAAATCTTTATGATCTTGCGCTTCTGCAGGTGCGAAGAGGAGTGGACAGAGCTGAAATTTATGGCATGACACTTTCTCAGGATGTGCAGTGGTTGGCTGTGTCAAGTGACAAAGGCACTGTTCATATTTTCAGTCTCAGGGTTAGAGTGGCTGGTGAAGACTCATCCACTAACTCAAATTCTCCTCAGAGCCCAGCATTATTGCATCAGAATTCATCAACATCTGTTACCTCCCTGATTTCTTCCAGCACCAGTTCCAATCCGAGTTCATCATTGTCTTTTATGAGAGGTAGGGAGAATTTCAACGACTTATCGAACTTTTGAACTGTAGAAATCAGCCTATAAATAATTTGTTGAACTTAGTGATAATAATGCATGCAACGAACCCCGGTATGATTTTCTCAGGCTTTTATTGTGGCTTTTGACGGTATTCTTGTGGTTGTTTTATGGTTTTACAATTAGGTCTTTAACTGTTTCTCTCACCACTTCTATCTCTGCTACGGTTTCATAAACACTGGTTAAACTAGGATCTGGACTTATCCTTACAAATGATGTTGACAAGCCAGAATTATTTCCTTGGTATTAAATTGTGCTCATCATGGGTTATTTGGAGGTCTGTAGCTCTGGAAACTAGTACAAAATGTGTAAGCTCATCAAGTTTTTTCTTGTAAAAGTTTGATCCAGAGCAGATATCTATATGGGGCCTGTATACTTTCTCCATTTTTTTTAAGTCATTGGCTCATTGAGATTTCCTAATGCACAATGAACCACAATGGGTTTTCTTCTTCTTCTTCTTCTTCTTCTTCTTCTTCTAATATCTGTTAGTGTTGTTACAATGTTTCCTCCAGGGGTGTTGCCCAAATATTTCAGCTCTGAGTGGTCATTTGCCCAATTCCGTTTACCAGAGGAGACACATTTCATTGCTGCATTTGGATCTCAGAATACAGTCATTTTTGCTGGCATGGATGCTAGGTATGTAATTCATCACTTTTCTGTTTTCTTTTATAAGCTGCTGCACTTGAGAATTTAGGTTAGTGGTAAATTAGCAGTTTAAGTAAAACTGCTATTACACAGACACTAAATTTATGTTAGTTAACTTGGTCTTACATCACATGCTGTGAACAACAAACCCATCTTCTCCCCATTCCGTGTTCCTCGAGTGTTAAAGAACCATGGACTTCCACTGGCTACTAGTAACGTTGTATGCAGCCATTTGAAAGTTGTCAGATACTGAAATCAATACTTTAGGCTGCATCTCTAGGATCATGGTGATATTAACTGAACTGACACAGCAGAATAACTAAATCCATTTGGTTTGCTTATCGTCTCCCCACACTCAGAAAATTTTGTTCTTTTATTATTTCCAGCTTCTACAGATGTCAATTTGATCCCGTTCATGGAGGAGAGATGTTGCAGCAGGAATACGTCCGTTTTCTGAAGACAGATATCCGCCCTAAATAGCGAGCAGTATGTTTCCCATTCCTGTAAATACGAGTCCCAAATGTGCAGCAGTGTGAATACTAAATAACCCAGATTTGATCGCATTCTTTGACTATTTTCCTTTCTAGTAAAACTACCAGTCTAGTGAAAGTGGTCAGAATTAGTCTCTGGAAAGTCATCAAATTGGCATGCTTGTTGACCAAGTAAGACTCCTTCAGTAGACAAGTAAAGCAAAGAAAAGAAAAACATTCAGTTGGCAACTCTTAAGATCTTTGCAAGTTCTGTGTAACAAATTTGCACAAGTCACATTTCCTGCCGACTTACATCACATGTTCCTATATCACTACTATGTGTGCCTGATTACTGAACCAAACTCGGATAACTAAAGAGGCACTAGTTAGTTTCTGCTCTCACAAGGTGGGAGTCGCAAGGTCAAGAGATTCTCAGTATAGGTACAGAAGTCCAAGTTGCGCAATCCTGTAGGAATGCCGACCTTCCTAACCGTCCCTTTCTTTCTGTTGACAAAGATGATAACGTTGTCGGGCGAGCTGAAGATGATCCAGTCGCTCGTGTATACTTTGATCTCTCCCAGGATGGTTCTGTTGTCCAGAGGAGGCAGCGAGACGATGGCCTGCTTGACCCAGTGACTGTTCTGCTGATCAGCGAGCACCCACACCACCAGGCGAAGCGGGAGGTCTCCCGGAGTCTCAATCATGCGCAGCTTTCCCTCGGGTTCATCCTCCATGATCCTCGGAGGATTCCCGTGGATCGCCCTCCTCCAGCCTTGAGGCCCACGTACAACTCCAAACCTCTCTTTCTTGATGTCCAAGTAAACCAGGAAAGCATCCTGCCTGCCACCAGCTTTGCTGTTGCATCTGCAATGCCGGCTCTGGTTGATCTTCCAGTAGACTGATTCAGCCCCACGGACGAAAACCGGCAAGCTGAACTCGGCGACGAAGTAAGGGCAGGGGTCGGCCAGCACTTTCCAGGCGTTGGTCACGGCTGGCTGAGTTGCAGGGTAGGTGAAAACAGAGCACTCAAACTTGCAGGGCACGTAATACCCTTCCTCAGGCTTGTGCACCAATCTCGCCACTTTGTACTCTCCTGTCGATCCAATGTACCCGAACCCGAACCCGGCAATGGTCTGGCCGCTGCCGCCGTGGAGCGGCGGGAGCTGGACGAGGGAGTGGGTGGAGGGATTGCAGAGGTAGACGCAGGTTTCGGTGGCGAAACAGAGCAGCCCGCGGGAGCTCGGGAGGACGAGCTTGATCGGGCCGCCGAAGACGGTTATGGGGAGGACGTCGAGGGGAACGCCGGCGGAGTTTAAGGTGGCGAAACGGTGGAGGGAGGCGCCGGAGCGTTGGTCGTAATCGAAGTCGGAGCCCTGGAAGAAGAAGAAGCGGGGTACAGAGGAAGATGCCCTACAGGCGTTGTACGTGTCTCGGAATTGGGGATGTGAAATTGCGTAGTTCCATGTCTTGGAGACGCACTTGAAGCGGAGCAGGGATTTGGCGGGGAGGGCGAAGAGGATGGGGAAGACGGATCTGTCGGTGGCGAGAGCGGAGAGGCGACGGCGGCGCGGTTGCGGCGGCGGAGGAGCCATAGCTTTGCTGTCTTTTGCCCTTGGTGAGTGGGTTGATTCTCAGGGTAAAAAAGAAAGAATCACTCTTTGTCCCGTTGATATATAAAAGGGTTTTGTAGTGTTTTCCTCGCCGGCGACGGAGAACGGAGGTGAATCGGAATGGCGGGTATTGCTTTGCTTGCTGCTGCTGTTTGGGGTAGTAATATTATTAATCGTTTATCGAGGACAAGGCTAATTAGTGATTATCACGGCTGTTAATGACTATTTTCGATAATAAAAAATTCAACGCAACCTTAAATTTCATGACTTTCTCGGCCAAAATTCGCTAAACTGATTAGGGGTGCATTTTTTTTCATGGTTATCAACTTTTCATGAGCATTTATTAACGGAAAAATATTTCTTAATCTAGTTCCTATTGTATATGGACAACGGCCGCTCTCATTGGCGCATTTTCAGTGAATCTGAGAAGGTATTTCATGTAGGGGTCAACAAAACAACCCGCAAAACAACTTATCCGTCCAACCCACCTGTATTTATCGATAAAATTAAGTTTTAACGTTGGGTGAGGGTTTTATTTTGTACAACCCGTCTCTATTGGGTTGGGTCTGGATTTTGGGTTACGCAATTCGTAGAATCCGACCAAACATGTGTTCCAACTATTGTCATAAATATTCGTATCCAAAACATATTTGTATCGTATATAAGCATATTTGTAAGAAAATTTAGATTATTTTATCCCATTTTTCTCTTGTGGTTTCCCTCGCCTAATACATTATTTTACTTTAAATTTAGACATATATTTAATATAGGCTACAAGTCACAGAATTAGTTATATAATAATTGTGGTGTAGAATAGTTGTCTTTTTTTTGGGTTGGATTTTTAATTAAAATTATCTCTAACCCGACCCAACCCAACCCAACTATAAACAAACCGCAGGATTCTAAAGTTTTTCGGTGGGTTTGGATTTGATATTTTCAAAACCGTAATGTATGGATCGGGTGATTAAAATGACCAAACTCGAACCACCCGACCTACGTACACCCCTAATTTCATGATACGAATAAAATTGGTTCCAGTCGTTCATGATTTCGAGTTGGTCTGGGAGTTGGACATTAGAAAGATTGTTCTACAGAAACTCACCCTAGTATATTCTCATGGGTGAAATTAGATGAATTGTGGCTCCCTAATGACGGATCTGGATAAAACATTATTTATAAAGAAACAACTTGTCCCATCGTAGTGAAGTCAATGGCGATTGAGTATAACAATGCCAAGTGCTGCTACCTGGGGATTTCTGAAGACATCCAATCAATGAATCTAGATTGCTCTAAGTTGAAGAGGCAGAGGGAGTCGAGGCAGAGATAGATGGTCCAAGGAGAGCAGACGATCCTAAGGGGACCATAAAACCCCAAGGAAACACCAAACAACCACCACAACTAGCCAAAGAAATCCTACCCTCCATGCTATGAAGACCGACCAAGCAATACAAACAACCATGGGAGGCCGAAGGGAAAAAATAGTGAATGACTTCACCAAAGACGTTGAACCCATCAACATGGGAGACCAACCGTCACACATATCGAAACGAGGCTCCCAAGCACCAAACTCTAGATCCCAAGATGAGCAAGCCTAGAACAAGAAATCCAAGATCCGAACAAAGAGCAACAACTCAACTGGAGAGGAATTCGATAAGCCACATCTACAGGAGAAGAAAAATACCAAGACTGAAATCATCTGAAGGAAAATCACATAGACTAAAGGCAAGAGGAGCGTGAGCATGGAAAGATAATGAATCTCATAAAGCAAAGGGGAGCTAGGGATACCGCCCATCACGAAAAAGGAGCTGACGACATCCCTGAAAAGCAGAAGAAAGAAGTTGATGTTAGACAGATCAGATAAGGAAAAGGAAAATATTTCTAATCAAAGGAAGAGAAATACCTTTTTTCTTATATATACTAAATAAAAAGATATGTTACCAAAGATAAATATATCTTTGAATTTTTTTTATGCTAACCTAACAAAAACACGACTTCTTATGTACGGTATACTTATTATCACACTCCCTACAAGTTGCAGAGCGAGTTAATTTTTTTATTAGATCGAAAGAATTTGATAGGGCCAAATACATCATTTATATCTGGAAAAATACTCAAAACATATCAACTCACATCCTTTGCCAATTACACGGGTCACCACCAAGTCACCCAGAAACCTTCTTAGTCAATCCCCCAAGTAACCAACATCTTGACGGTCAATTGCTCTAGGCCACCTGGGGCACATCTCGAATCAATCACCTCAGGTCACCCAACACCCTTAGGGTCAATTATCTGGGTCATTCCAGTTACACTTGGGCTCAATCATCTCAGGTCAATTGGCACTCATGGGGTCAATCACGTTGCATCACTCTGATCAACCTAAGGTCAATCACCGTGAATCACTATGGGCCCTCTTGGAGTGAATCACCTCGAGTCACTCAATCACCCACTATCTTTTTTTTTTTTTGGTGTGAAATCACCTACAATCACCTTCAGTAAATTTGATCACCCCAGGTTACTCATATGGTCAATTACCTCGAGTCCTCTTCAGCACCCTTGGGATCAATAAGTGTTGGTCACCCCAACTTTTGGTGATTCAACCATCCTGGGTCAACTTAGGCACCCTTGGGGTCAATTACATAGGGACATCTTTAGCACTCTAAAGGTCAATCACTTTGGGTAACCGATACCCTTGTGATAAATCACCTCAAGTCACCCTAGACATCATTGGGGTCAAACACCTCGGCCACCACATGCCACGTACTCCCATATCATGTTTGTCCATCACTCTTATCACCCCTAGGATGACTCCCCCTGGGTCACTTGGGAATTTCCGGGGTCAATTATTTCAGGTAAATTTTGAATAATCAGATAGGGTCACCCCCGATTACTTTTGGGGTTAATCACTCTGGATCCCAATGAGAAATTTTTGGGTCAATCGCCTTGGGTACCTCTAGGTTTAATCAACTCGGGTCACCTTAGTAACCTCTGGGGTTAGTCGCCTAGGGTCAAACACCTTGGACGCCTCGGGTTAGCTACCCGATCCAAATATTCCCGTAACATATTATCCCTCACACTGGTCACCCCTTGGACAGGTCAATAACCCTCATATCAACTTCGGCATCCCTTGGGTCAATCAGTCCAACACCTTGGGCACCCCTTGGGTAAACCACCTCGGGCCACTCCCACTAGCTCTGGGGTCAATCACCCAGGATCACGTTGGGCACTCTAGGAGTCTATTACCTCGTGTCGCCTTAGACGCTCATGGGGTCAACCACCCTTGGGAAACAACTCAGGCACCCCCAGGTTAGCCACCTCGGGCCACTTACTCCTCATAACGTGTCTTTCCGTCACTTTGATTGCCCTTAGGATGACTCGTCCATAGTCACCTTGAGCACTGCTAGGGTCAATTATCTTGTGTCACCTTTGGCACCCCTAGGGCAACCAACTTAGACTATCCCGACCACCCCTTGGGTCAACCACAACAGGTCACTTTGAGGACTATTAGGGTCAATCATCATAGGTCACCCGGGGCACCTATTGGGTCAATCACCTTGGGTCATACTGATACCCCTGGTGGAAATTTCTTCGGCTTTTCCTAAACATCCCTGAGGTCAATTGCCTAGGTCAACCAACACCCATGGCATGGCATCAAAGACCTCGGGCACCCTCGGGTTAGCCACCCCGGGCCACTTACTCCCAATATGTCCTTCCGTCACCCTCCGAGATCCAAGAACAAGAACAAGTACCCTGTTTATGATTGACCGTCGGGTGTCAACAGCTATAAAAGGCTATCAAGTAAGCATAATAACTCATGTCTAGACTCGTCATCTCCCGCCATGACTAGTGATGGCATTTGTCTTCACCTACATTCCTTCATGATTCTTTTTGAGGTCATAATCCTCTTACCCAAAGGCCAAAACCACTCACTAACTTATGATTCGGAGAGTGTCCCATCAAAATTGATTGGAGGACCCTTTTTTAGGAAATAACCGAAGATGACATTACGAAAGTAATTCAAGATAAAAAGTGATTATCAATTGATACTGATTTCCAGCATAAAAAATTCGATGTCAACTACAACACATGTATCGGAAGTAGGCATTAGCCAATTGATAGAGAACTTTACAAGAACGTAAACTGACCAGAGAACGATAAAGAATTATCCATCTTTGGAGACATTGAGGGTTTAATACGTATATCAGCCTTGTACTGTTTTTTCAACAAGAAAAATTGCTTGATTAATGGCATGACTGGTCACAGTAGAATCCATACTGGCTAGCATACCACGGTTCACTTGGTGTACCATGTTTTGTCGACCAACCCATGTTTCCCCTCATATAGCTGGAATCATATCGGACCGGTCATTGATAAGTGGATCAACGGGTTGAACCGTTCGGTCCGTTGCAGACTTGCAGTCCCTCAATTTATTGAATAATCCTCCAACAGAAGGAAAAAAGAACAAAGACCAGTCTGAGATCAATATCAGCAAACAACATGACTGAATGCCATATCAACTTATTAACAACAAGAGCCATTTTCATGCAACTAAGGGGAACAAAGCAGCTCATAGTTCATTCATTGTTGCCGAAGATAGAACCAACTGCCAGAAGTTCCCATATCTATAGTTCCTTCTTATCCATCTCTTTTTTCTTCTTTCCAAACTAGTCTGTGCCGTTCTGCTCTTTGCTGTGTATAAAGGTTCATTCACCTCAAATTTTCATTCACTCACATCATTACATCTGCTAAATTCTCTTCCAATTAACTTCGAGCCTAAAGTTGGCAGTTGGTTTCCCTTCTGATGATTGTATTCCGTGCACAAGATTCTGCATGTTGTTGCTTCATCAGATGAGCTCATCACGTGGTTGATAATGTTTCAAAGCTTTGATCTTGAATGGCTTGCATCATCAATGGTAATCATCACTTTCCCAATGGCTTTTCTCTCTTTAATTGCCGCAAAAGCAAGGCTGGCCTGTAGAAAGAGATGCATATTCAAGGTGAATAAATCCAATGTTCCACCAGCAATGAAGCTGCCATCACAAAATCAACCAGCACAATGCATGATAATACTGGAACGGCTTGAACCAGATCCTAATAACCCCTCAACTTTATCCTCGATGTCATCAAATGATTTAGCTCGACTTCATAGGGCACCATGGTTGGTGTAAATCTAGATCATTGGAACTATCTAATCTAATGCATACACCAACAGCTTTAGAATACAATATTCTCAAAACAGCCATGAGCTCTGATGGAGTCGTTTAAGACTGAAACAAGCTTCAATTTTCTATCAAATATTGTGAAGTCTATCACTCCAACGCACGGATAATCAATTGAAGCAAACGTTGCTGTCCCAGATCTGTTTTAAGCAAGGTCTAATGAATTCTACATTTCACATATCCAAGTACAAGTATATTTTAAAACAGGATATAATTAACGGAAACGACAAAGCAAATGAAATATGTTAGGAAATCCAGACCTCCGAGAGGCTGTACGTATGAGAAATGTGGATAGTGATGAGTCCCTGAGCCATCCAGCTGAGAAGCTCCTTGAGAGAATCTTCAAGAACAGATGGTCTATGTATCTTGTAGCTTCCCCAGTAAAGTCCATGAATAGTCCAGTTCTGTATACACAGATTCAACATCACTTGGTAAGACAAATAATTAAAGGTTTTATGCCTAACCATCATGTCCGTTTCTAAGGAGCTTTATTTATAAATTCAGTATCATTGTTCAGTGATTCCAGAACATGGAAGCATTTATCGTAGGATGAAACGAAGTATGTACCTTGACAAGGGCAATGTTGGCAGGAATGAGGGGTATTTCACCACTGGCAAAACCAATAACCAGAATCTGTGCACCCCAATTCAGAAGCTTCAAGCTCTCTTTCGTAAGCTTCCCACCAACTGGATCATACAGAACATCCACCCCTTTGAGCTTCCTCGACTTGAGAAAGTTCTTGACACTCGCGGTAACACCTTCTTTAGTCGAGTCCACGACATGATTAACTCCCATCGACCTCAGAAGTTTAATCTTCTCATCTCCCCTGTGATAGTTAGCAACACCAGAAGGAAGATTTCCACCCCTAAAGTTTAAATGCCATTGCAAGCCAGTAAAATGTGAAGGCTGAAATTTTGGTTTTGCCAAGAAAGTCAGTACCTAGCAACAGCAATAACAATCGCTCCACGAATTTTGCCAATTTGGACAGCAGAAAGGCCAACACCTCCAGCTGCTCCAAGAACCAGAAGAACCTAAACACAGCAACATTATCCCTAATTTCCAATGTAGTCAAAAGCGAGTTTCTATGTAGAAACGTTTAGATGATCTAGAAGCGTAAAATCGTAGTTTTTACGTTTTAAACCGGAGTTTTTAACTACATGAGTTATAAAAACTGAGATTTTGTGTAGAAGCGTTTTAGTGACATAGAAACGTAAAATCGTAAGTTATTAAGTTTTAAAGCGCGATTTTGACTACATTGCTAATTTCTTATATCAAAGAACAGAACTCCCAATTCCAGACAAGCAATTCACACCGGGAAGGCAGAGGGAGTGGAAGAACTAACCTGGCCAGAACCCAGCTGAGCTCTGTGAACAAGAGCAACATGAGAGGTTCCAAAAGCCACCGGAAGAGCAGCGGCAGCCACCAGATCGCATTCTTTTGGCACCAGGTACCTTTCCCAAAAAATTTGGGGTTTTTTTCAGCGTATTAGAGATAATGAAAGCAAAAACGTTCAAGTTGTAATGGAATGGGAACTCTAGTAACGGAAATGGGACAGAACAAATAATTGAAGAGGTTATTTGCTTACAGTTCGGACTGATCGGCGACGATGAACTGGGCGAAGGAACCTAGGGAGGCAAAGGAGCAAACATGGTCTCCGACTTTGAAAAGGGAGACGCCGGAACCGACGGCGTCGACGACGCCGGCGTAATCGGAGCCTGGAATGAACGGCAGCGGAGGCTTCTCCTGGTATTTCCCGAGAACCTGAAGGTAATTGGCGAAGTTCAAGCTTGTGGCTTTAACCCTTACTCTGACGGTGGTGGGAGAGTCAAGCGGCGGAACCGGGTGATTCTTGCTCAGGACGATCGGTGAATCGCCGCCGGCTGCCGTCGACGGATCGCCGAGTTTCTTGCACACCAAAGCCTCCATAGTTACTTACCCGTCAGTGATTTCGCCGCCGTGAGTGAAACTCTCTCTCTTGCGCTCTCTGTTCTTTCTCCAATTGTCGGTGGTGATTTGATATAACGATGGAAACGAGTAGTTTGGTAGCGCGCCGGCTAAAAGAATGGCTTTGTCGTTTTCTCCTCTTCTCGCATTTCTTTTCTCATTCATCGTTCTTTCCCAAGTGAGTAAACCAACCAACCTTATCCACTTTTTCTCTGTCTGAATTTTGGCGCTAACAAACAGCCACCATGAGTGGCAATCGGGTAGCAATTGCATCGACCCATCATCACTCACATTGTCATCGCGCTCAGTTTTCAAGTTCCCACAAAACCCATCTCTTTTTTGGCCACTCCAGCTCCTATTCTACCCCACCAATCGGTAAAGCAAAGATCTTTAGTAAACGCCATAGCTCTCTCAGGCCGAAAAAGTTAAACTGCTAACAGGGGAACTTGTTAGCATATACTGACATGGTGGAGATGATAGCCACGTCGGCCCACAAGTGATCCAAGGGAGGAGGGTTGAAGGCTTGTAATGGCTCACTTAAGTGAGCTGATCTTGGACTTGGAGATGAGCCGGCCCAGCCGCAAAACTGAAAAGGTGGCTTTGGCCCCACCATAATTTGGGCGGGATTGGGAAAGGAATGAAAAGTGGCGCTGGGTCCACCACTTTTCTATTTCTCAACACCTTTTTTTTTTCTTTTTTTATTTCTCACTTGTGTGGTTACAATGAATATTTCTTTTGGCTATAGAGGATATTTATTGCTAAATGGTTGGATATTAATTTGTGATATTTATCTATGCTTGTTTGTGTAGATATTTATCTGTTTTTCAGTATGAATATTTATTTTTTCATGAACTGATATTATATGCAATGAATATTAGTTTGTGATGTAATGGATATTGTGTATTCCATCAAAACTAACACACTATCAAGTCCTAACACGTAAGGCTTGCAACCTTAGTTAGGGCTGCCCGCCGAGGGCCCATGGGCCGAAGGCGGAATATTGTTTCTTACATCAAATTAAACACACTAGGAAATTAAACACACTAGGAAGTCCTAACACGTAAGGCTTGCAACCTTAGTTAGGGCTGCCCGCCGAGGGCCCATGGGCCGAAGGCCCATTAAATAATAATAGTTTTATGGTTTAGAGTTTGTGTTACGGTTTTATGTTAAGGGTTTAGGGTATAGCTTAGGTTTGAGTTGATATTAGTTCATGTTTTCGAAATTTTCTTGGACTTTTGGATATTCTAATAGGGTTAAGGATTTAGTTTTTAGCGATTAGGGTTTCGGGTTTAGAAGGCAATATTGTGAAAATGGTTTTGAACACAATGTAGGGTAGTCGATTTTTGTCTGTGGTGATAAAATATTATTATGTGATCGGAGAATATTAGTTGGCGATGTGTGGATATTTTGGCTGTGTAGCAGGATATTAGTTTGTAACCGATGGATATTAGTTAGGGTTGGTGAGGATATTTATTATGGGCAAAACGAATATTAGTCTGGGTGTTGCAGATATTTTTTATGGTAGGAATGAATATTAGTCTGGGTGATGTGGAAATTTTTTTATGTAGTACGGATATTGGGGCACTTCTGGTAACTATTCAGATGTGATCCTTTGTTTATTTTAGCATCTAGCATCACACACTTAGCCAACCATATTACACCAATTTACGGTTTAGCGGTTAGGATTTAGGGTTAAGGATTTAGTGTTTAGCGATTAGGGTTTAGAGTTTATGTGTAGTTGGTATTAGTCTGCGATGGTCAGATATTAATCTGTGTGAGGTGGGTATTAGTATGTGATGGACAGATATTAATATGTGTATGGTGGGTATTAGTTTGCTAAGGTGAGATAATAGTCTGGGTAGTTTGGATATTTGTTCTGTGTGGATGTTTATCTACTGATTTGTATATGATTACATCAATTTAGGGTTTAGTGTTAGGGTTTTGACTTTAGGGTTTAGAATTAGGGTTTGGAGTTTATGATTTAGGATTTGACTTTGGGGTTGAGGTTTAGAGTTAAGGGTTCAGGGTTCAAGCTTTGTGTTTAGTGTCTACGATTAGGGTTTCAGGTATAAGGTTTGAGTTTTGGTTTCGGGTTTAGAAGACAATATTGTGGAAATGATTTTGAACACAATGTAGGGTGATCAATTTTAGTGTGTGGTGATAAGATATTATTATGTGATTGGAGGATATTAGTTCATGATGTGTTGATATTTTTGCTGTGTAGCCGGATATTAGGCTAAGACATCCATATATTAATCTGTGTGTGGTGGGTATTAGTCTGTATGGTGAAGATATTGATTACGGGCTGACTCGATATTGGTATTAGGCGGTGGGATATTAGGGCTGCCCGCCGAGGGCCCATAGGCCGAAGGCCTATGAAACAATAATAGTAGGAGAGTGAAGGTTTAGGGTTTATGATTTAGTGATTAGTCTTGTAGTCGGATATTAAACTGTGTGGTGTTTGTATTTGTTTTTGCAAAGAATGTGTATTAGTTTAGGTGGTTCTGATATTAGCTTTGGTTTGAATTGATATTAGTTCATGTTTTCAACTATTTGTCTGGGTTGTTTGGATATTTGTTTTCTCATTAACTGATATTAGTCTGTTGATATTAGTTCATTAGCCAATTTAATTACTTTTGGTATTAGTTTGCGATTGTCAGATATTAATCTATGTGTGGCGGGTATTAATCTGCGATGGTCAGATATTAGTCTGTGTGTGGTGGGTATTAGTCTTTATAGTTAGGATATTATTTACGATCTGAATGTATATTAGTCTTAGGCGATGGGATATTAGTCCGGGTGTTGTGGATATTTGTTATGGTGAACGGATATTATTTTGGGTGGTTTGGATTTGCTTTGTGTGAATGTTTACCTATGTTTGTATTGAAATTTAGTTTAATTAGCGATTAAGGTTTAGAGTTTATGTGTAATTGGTATTAGTTTGTGATGTTCAGATATGAATCTATATGTAGTGGGTATTAGTTTTCGGTGGTAAGATATTAATCTGTGTGTGGTAGGTATTAGTCTGATACGGTCCGATAATAGTCTGGGTGGTTTGGATCTTTGTTGTATATGCTTATATCAATTTAGGGTTTGGTGTAAGGGTTTAGGATTTAGAATTAGGGTTTACAGTTTAGAGTTTGGAGTTTAGGGGTTAGGATTCGCATTTGGGGTTTAGGGGGTTGGGGTTTAGGGTTTAGGGTTTGGGGTTGAGGTTTAGAGTTTAGGGTTCAAGCTTTGTGTTAGTGTTTAGGGTTAGGGTTTCAAGTACAGGGTTCGAGTTTTGGTTTCAGGTTTAGAAGACGATAATGTGGAAATGGTTTTGAACACAATGTATGGTGGTTCGATTTTTGTCTGTGGTGATAAGATATTATTATGTGATTGGAGGATATTAGTATGAGATGTGTGGATATGTTGGCTGTGTAGTCGGATATTAGTCTAAGACAGTTAGAAATTAGTCTTTGAGCGATGGATATTAGTTTGTGTAGGTGAGGATATTTATTATGTGAGGAACGGATATTGGTATGGGTGGTGTGGATATCATTTTTATTGTGTACGGATATTGGTCTGCTATGGTTTTCTAGTACGCAAAACTAGTGAGAACACTCGATACAATTAGTAGTCAAAGTCATTCCGACATGGCGATTATAACTTTCCAAACAAAAAATAGTACTTAAGAAAATTCTTTGTTCAAGTGTGGGATTGCTGTTCCAAAATGTCGATTTTGGATCTTTTCCCGCCTCGATGATATCTTGACCTCACAGGGATTAAATGTGTTTAATTGATTACTAAATGTGGGTAATTGATTAAATGTGTTTAATTGATGACTAAAGGGAAAAACAAACCGATGAATCGTGAAGAGGCAAAGAGATTGAGGATATTAGTCTGGGCTTTCAGGATATACTTTGGCAAACAAAAAGTATTAGTCTGAGCTTTAAGGATATTATTCTACATAAAGACGGATATTTTTCTCGGAGGCTACGGTATATTTTTGAATAAGAATTTATGTTGGTAATTATATCCAACATTTGACAAAATATTATCCATCTTGCTACAAACCAACATCCTTCCCTAAATATTATCTAACCCTAAGTTCAGTTTTACAAACCAATATCACACTACACAAATCTAAAATAAACTTTTCTTCCTTTTCCCTCATCGTCTTGGTCATCACTTTCTTCATCCTCAATTTCTTGGTCCTCATTTTGTTGTTGTTGTTTGGCACATTTAGGCCTAAAGGTTTCGCCTTCTGATGTGGTCCTCATTGCAGTTGATTTAGTTCTTGTCATTGCAGCTGGACTTCACATAACGAATACCCCAACCATCAGAAGTAATATCAAACAAGTCATATCTAAATATATCAAGCAACTATCCAGGCAATTCACAAATGATATCGTGGTCGACCAAAACCAATGTCAATGTAGGAATATCCAGATATATCAAACAACTATCCAGGCAATTAAAAACTGATATCCTGCCCGAACAGAACTAATATCGGAACGCACACAAAACATATCCAAAAAACAAAGCAACCCAGATCCAATCAAATCCACAAAATCCACAAACAAAGCAACCCAGACCCAGATCCAGTCACATCGACAAACCCAGAAAACATATCCACATAATCCAAATATATCAAACAACTATCTAGGCAAATCACAAATGATATCATGGTCGACCAAAACCAATATCAATGTAGGAATATCCAGATATATCAAACAACTATCCAGGCAATTTAAAACTGATATCCTGCCCGAACATAACTAATATCGGAACGCACACAAAACATATCCACAAAACCCAGAAAACAAAGCAACCCAGATCTAATCAAATCCACAAAATCCACAAACAAAGCAACCCAGACCTAGATCCAGTCACATCCACAAACCCAGAAAACATATCCACATAATCCAGAAAACACATCCACAAACCCAGAACGCACACAAAACATATCCACAAAACCCAGAAAACAAAGCAACCCAGATCTAGTCAAATCCACAAAATCCACAAACCTAGCAACCCAGACCTAGATCCAATCAAATCCACAAACTCAGAAAACATATCCACAAAATCCACAAAAGAAAGCAACCCAGATCCAGTCAAATCTAAGTTAACAGAAAACAAATCCATCAAACCCATCGGGAAAAAAAAATGCAGGAAAAGAAAAACTCAGATCTAGTCGAAGCTATGCAACCTTAACTCAATCTACTCAAACGAACATGAGTATCCATGAACAAATGGGAAAAAAACTCTGCTACCTCAGTCAACGAAGTAGTTCTTTCGTCAACGACCGCCGTCAACCAACCCTTCGTCGCGCGCCGCTTCGTCTGCACTGTCAAAATAAGCCCGCTTCGTCTGCACCTTAGCCGCCGTCAACCAACCCTTTCGTTGCCGCCGCTTCGTCTGCATCGTCGCCGCCGTCAAACCAACCTGGCCGCCGTCGTCGTTATCGGGAGAGGAAAGGGAGAGGGAGAGGAAAGAGAGAGGGAGTGAAAACAATTGATTTTTGGAGAGAGAGGGGAAAAACGTGTCTGGTGGAGAAAGATTAGAGAGGGGAGGGTTTTGAGTAAAAAAAAGTGGTGTTTTTTGAATTTGGGGGCCTGGTGGGCCCCATTTTTTTTCTGTAGGCTTGGGCCAGCCGATGGACTCGGCTCTCCTCCCTCACATGCTGGCGCCAATCTACCTCCACCGCTGGATCGTGGCTTGGAGACGTGGCTGCCCATCTAACCCTATCAGTATCTCCTAACAAAATGACCTGTTAGGAGCATAACTAGATTGCTCTCAGGCTCTGTAGGTCAAAAAACTATCAGGATGCTCTGGTTTTGGGGACGAATGGTTACCTTACCGGCAATTCAATCATCAAACTCCTTCCTCATCCTTCAATTTCGGCGTCCGCTTCTTCCTCTTCCATCAGTGGCTCTGCCGGCGCTTTCCCGGAGCAGCTGTCGGATACAGAGGAAAAGAAGAAGACGGTGAAGAAAAAGAGGCAAATAGCTGGGATTGATCAAGATGAACTGGTTGATCCCGAACTTTTAGCAGACCCAGAAGTTGTTACTGCGAGTTCAGAGGTGTGAAGATACACCACAAGTGGGAAATGGCTCTTTGCCGCAGATTTCTTCTTCTGATCCTAACAAGAAGCTTGGGTTTCCTATCATCTTACTGCGTGGCTTTGGAGCTTCTTTGTTCTCATGGAGCAGAGCGATGAAGAGGTTGGGAGAGGCCACATCTGCTCCTAAAGTTGTTGCCTTTGTTCGGATTGACCTCCAAAGTGGATCCTTCTTCTTCCATTAAGGCTGAGGATTCCAAACCATTGAATCCTTACTCCATGGCGTTTGCTGTGCTTGCTACATTGTACTTCATCGATTTCTTGAAGGCTGACAAAGCAAGTCTAGTAGGGTACGTTCACCTCAATTTCCCCATTCTCCAAAGCTCTTTTTGCCCTTTGGTTGCCAGTGATTACGAGGTGTTAATTTATGCTGCTTCGGATTTCACTGGAACTAAGAATTTCACTTCAATTGATTGTTGGTGGCCTAGGAGCATATTAAGTGTTTGTGTTTAGTGTTGAAAATGTTGGGTTTTCCTCAAGCTTGATTAAAACCATGACATACCAGGCATTCCGCTGGTTCTGTCAATACCTACTTTGAGGCTCCAGATCGTGTCGCCGCTCTGATCCTTGTTGCTCCTGCAATATTTGCTCCCAATCCAAGTCCAAAAATTTCCAAAACAGAAGGGGCTGAAGAGGAGAAATCAGATTCTAAAGGTGCGCTGGGGAATCCATTCATTTTGCTGTTAAAGAAGTTGTCTCGTCTCGGCTTGCTGCGTCTATAGCTCAGGCCACACTGAAGCTAGTGAATGGGATGATGAGCATGCTTGACTCCCTATACAAGAAAGCATTGTCTGCCCTTCTGTGCTCTGCCTTGGGCTTAATGCTGGTATTTTTCAGTCTGATTCTTGTTTGCATCACAATTGGTATCATTCATCCTTTTGTTTTTCAAATATCCATGTACTTATATATGCATTGGCTTGTGTGGAGTCAGATAAGGATGGCGATTGATAAATTTGGTGTAGTTGGTGTGAAGAATGCATGGTATGATGCTCAGCAAGTCAATGAAGAAATTGTGAATGGTTATACAAAGGTTAAGTCGATTCTTTCTCTTATCCCTCCTTAATTTGCTGGAACATAATTAGAAACTGTGGTGCAGCTAAGTGAACTTGTGTGTTTCTTGTTACCTCTGGAAAATGAAGCCATTAAGAGTCAAGGTTTGGGACAAAGCTCTTGCAGAATTCTCTGCTGCAACTCTTGCAGGTGTTGAATCCAAAACCAGGACACCAGTATCAAAAAGGCTTCATGAAATTACTTGTCCTGGTAAGTGTTCATGGTGTTATGATACAAAAGAGCTTTGTTTATTCCAAGTCTCGAGTAACTAATACAGTAGAGTAATACGGATTCTTGCCATTTTCAAACCCAGTTCTCATAGTGACCGATGATACCGATCGAATCGTTCCTGCATGGAATGTGAAGAGACGTTCACAGGCCCTGCCTGGATCTGGCGTTGAAGTAATCAAGCATTGTGGCCTCTTCCACATGGAGAAAAAATGGAAGAGTTTGTGACTGTTATCGAGAAGTTTCTCCCAATGGCTTTTGGTGATATGAAGGAGCCATCTCTGCAAACGTCTCACTAGAATTCATGCGCTCTGTCTCTCTCTCTCTTCTGCAGGCATCATTAGGTTGTCTGTAATAGCACCATGCTGCAACTGATTTACTTAGGTAAGGAAAATGTAACTCATGGACAATGTGGGGGACCAAGAGAAAGAGATGAAACCATCTTGTACACTTCATTACACGATAAAATGAGCATTCAGCAACGAATTATTGTTGTCAGAAAGTAGGATCCATAGATATTGTAAGACTAGGATCTGGTAAGCTTGATGGGATGCTAAATCCCGACATGAAATCATCTCCGAAGATCACAGCACCAGCAGCAAGAGCTCCTCCAACTCCAGCTCCCATGGCTACACCAGCAGCCGACGGTCTTGCTGCCCCTCCTCTAGTTGGTGCTGCAGATGCCGGCATGTTTATGTACTCTGAGTTTGGAAGAAAGGTTGGTATGTAACCAACATTAGCTGGAGGAGGCGGCGGGGGAGGAGTCGCCGTCCTATGAACTGATGGTGGGTAGCTAAGTCCTCCATTAGAGGTGATAGGATGGTTCGCAGCAGGGTAAGGTACATGATGAGTATACTCAGAGTTCGACGATGCATATTGCGGCTGCCTGAATGGGGCTAAAGGCGGCTCGTCCCTTGGGTAGGCCATTTGCCCTGTACGCTTTCCATGATCTGTCGGTGGACCTCCTCCTCCATTGGTGCCTGGACGATGTTGAGGTTGCCAGGAAGGGCCTAAAGGTGACAGCTCCCTTGGATAGACCCCAAGCTCAGGATTATTGCCATGACCTATAGGTATAATTCCTTCATCACCACCTGCATTGCAAAACGCAGCCATCAGCTATCAGGAATCAAATCTATTGGGGATGGCATAACCACCAGCTACTCAGACAATAGTTTCGATGTAGAATCGAAAAGTTGAATAGAATTAGAGCGTAAAGGCGAATCTCTATATCGTGAGATTCATAGAACACGAGAAGTAGCTAACAATATTTCAACTTTTTCCCCCATTTTGAAGAGATCAAAATCAATTCGTTGCAGAGGGACAACAAACATAAAGTAATCAAACGATTGAAAAAGGTTCAAATCTCTCTTTTAGGTTGCAACAGCCACAACAATGTTTCATTCTCATCTATCTAAGGGTAAAATTCCTTATTCTACAATCTATGAAGCATTTAACATTCCGCAAGTCGTGAACACTCAGCATTCGTTCTTTCATTAACATCTCAAACTACCAAATTTGAGTAGTAAGCTGAAATCCTAGAATCTGAAGTTTTTTTTACCAATCGCATGAAAGAGTCGTAGGTATATCTTTAATACCCTGTAAACTTTGTCGAATAGAACCATAACAAGATCGTTATCTTATCCATATGCAATATCGATTAAGCCTATGTAGCGTAATTCTACCTCGATTCTACCGAATTCATGAATGTCACTAGCAAGCTTAGGATTCTATGACAAACAGCTTTATGTAAATCAGACAACATTTGGGATGAGTTAACTCATAAAAGCATAAGCTTTAGGAATTTACCTGAAATTTTCACTACATTGCATGCAACAAATCAATTACGCAAGTACCTGTAGCCAGGTATGAACTGGGTTCTTCTCTTTCCTCGGAGACACGGATCGAAACATCAACAAAACCCTGAGGTTTGTTAGAGTTTCGTTTCCGCAGCTGGTAGCTCCCAACTTCTTCAGACCCGGAGGAGGAAGAGGAGTTCTTCTTGCTGCTGTACTTTGCCAGAAACTCTTTCAGGAGGATGGTTGCGGTCCCTTCAAGGCTTTCCCTGAGGAAAATGGGCTCTCGACTGTAGACTTCAACAGTCAGTGCCATGTCCTGGAAATTCGTATCATCCAGCAAAGTAGCAAACTTGGTCTTCCAAGTGGGGTTTGCATTTCCGGAGCCATCTTTTGCAACGTTGGTGCAGTACTTGTTATTGGGATCAATCCAACCAACAGCAAACCACTGCCTCCTCCAGAGAGAGGAAGAACGCCTAACGCCTCGAGCAGAGATGAGGCTCACTTCTACCCAGATCTTGCCACCCATTGCAGGATCGTAGAGGAAGAAAACACAGAGATGTTTATCAAAAGAAGCAAACTTTTGGCTTTACTTTTCTACCTGAGATCGATTGGCTCTACTTTTCACACAGTGGGTTCAAGCGGAAAGGAAAAGGGAAGACCAATGCCATTATCTGTAACCCTGTATCCTTGTAGGACTACTTTACTTTGTGAAAGAGAAAAGTGAAATTCTTATGCCAAAACCACTTTCAATGACAAAAAGCCTTACCCGTTTGTAGCTGTCGATTCGTAAGTGCACTAAACAAGCAAAGGGAGAATAGAATACCGAATATGTAAGTGACACGAAACCCTATGTTGTGACACTGTAAAGGATTAAATTAGTTTGTAGATGGATAAGGCAGTAAGGCTGAAGCTTAAAGTCAAGATTTCAACAGTACCCCCATGGCGAACAGGAGTAAATATATATTGGTCTGGACTTAATAGACTAGACAAGACTCAAGAGTACAACAATCTATGTATGACCTGGGACTGGGATCTCTGTTGCAGTCTACAATCTATCCAAATGGCTGTGGAGTTAAACTATATAAGCTCAGTCTTCTGCAGATTCTCCAACAGTTACCTTAAGAGGAGGTGACTCTTTGAGAGGTGGAATTAGCAAAAGCTTCCTACCTACAAGTTTAGCCATTTGATCCTGACAATCACCACCACCACCATCATCACAGGCTGAAACAGTTCTCGTGTACATCGTTGTGGTAGATCCCAAAATATCGTCTCCAAACCCACAAGCTCTGAAGAACATCCTGGAAAACCCAAACCAAAAGCACACTCAAACCGTTCATTCATTCAATCTAACAGACTAGAGAATCAATGGGAAGATAAGCTCCGGTTGAATTACCTTTCATTGGCTGAGCAAAGGGCTCCAATGTCATAGATGCCTCTGCTGGTCAATATTCTGAAATCAACACAAAGGAGAACCCCCACCCCTTTAACTCTTATCAAAATCTTTTCAGCAACTCAGCAAAGGTACTGCTGGCCAAGTTCCAAGACTCTGCATAAAGGAACTACCTAGTCATTTTCTGAAGGATCATCTTCCTAATTCCCATTCCTCGCAATTGAGGGGTGACCTGGGGAATGGAAGCCACTGAGAAATCGCAAATCATATGAACCATATCCATCTCACAACAAGCCAAACACCAAATTTCAAACACAAGAGTTCAAAAACTTCAACTGGAATCTTTCTTGTGCTACAACTTACCACCACATCATAGATAGATGCAGTCAATCCCGAATCCGAAACAGCTCGGCCAAAACCTACGCGCTGCCGCTGCCGCTGCCGCTGCCTCTCCATATTCTGAATTTCGCTGAATTAACTTGGGAAAGCGGTGGCAGGAGTGGTTACAGAGGGCGAAGAGCCGGCGTAGCTGTTGAGGCTGGACGTGAGATGGGTTTGCGGAGATGTAGAGAGGAACGCTTGTTTCCATGGGAGAAATAGAATTGAGCGCGGTCATTGTGCGGTTCTGAGAGTTGCTTCTGGGTGTGCTTGTCCATCTGATTTCCATGGCGATACTCTTGCAGTATCAGATGGAGCTGCTCTTAATCGCCGCCGGCGTGGCCACACTTGCAGATACAGCAATGACAGCTTCAACGTCCATCGCCGTCGGCCGTTCGTCGGTAGACTAGATAGCGAAAATGCGGATTACTGCTTCCCCTGGATTCAAAATTCAAATACGAAAGTAATTTTCCACTTCTAAGTTTGATTTGAAATGTCTACCTTCGTGGATGAAGTAATTTACGCATCGTTTCATCGTTTGGATGGAGTAATCATGGTTGTCAAATCCGGTTAAACCATCGAGTCTGTTTTCAAGTGGTTTTAGCTTTAACGGTTGGATAGGGTTAAACCATTTCAAATCGATTTTATAATATCAAATAAATAAAGCATATATTTAACATAAAGCATATATCAAATACTTTGTATTCATAAATAAAGCATATATTTAACATATTTTATAACAATCTCACTAATTTGTATTCATATATTACCAAATTATTTATTTAAAAAATGTATATTACAAAATTATCATTTTCATCTTCAAACTCAATTTTGACTGGTCAGAGCACTTGGTTTTGACAAATGTAACCGGATTTTGACTTTTCCATAAATGTAAAAAGAAATCATATAGTGTAGAATTTAGTTAAGTGAGGAAGATGACGATTTACGTGGTATTCCCGACGAATCGGAACTAATCCACTGAAGAGTTAGTACCTCTCCGTCTATTGTTTTGTTATTGATGACTAGCATAGGGCCTGGTCCGTTGGCCAGAAAAATTTTGTCGAGGAATATGATATATAATAATGGATATAATAGATTATTTGAAATGCATGAAATTATTGTTTTCTACCTTAGTTATGCACATAACATTTTTGAAAGTGATCCAGTTATTCATAATGTGTTTAGACCTCCATGAAAAGAAAAAATATAATATAAGCATTACATATAATTATTGAATGAAAAAAATATAACTAATTGTCATTCTTTACTTAATTAAACCATATAGTTGAATATTAGAGTTGCTTCTCATAATCCAACATAATCAACCTTTAGGATGAAAGAAAATGTCTCATAAAGTTTATTATGTCATTTAAGTTTTTTTTCCCAACAGAGAGCATTCTTTTTTACCACACTGTTGGTAATGAATCTGAAGTTGCTTGATTTGAAATATATAGGATATGATGTTAAGTTGTCGCTAATAGTTAGTTGGACAATGTCTTGTGTACAGACTTCCCAAATTATTCTCATATCGCAGACATATATAGCAACAATTTAGTAATTTTCATGAAGCAATATTTTTTTCGTGAAATAATTCAATAAATAAAAACGTATGAAAATAATATTACATGAAATATATGTTACTCATTAAGTTGATGAATAAACGAGGGTATGAGTAGCATACATTTATTTTAAAAAGATAGAAGATGTTGCAAAGTGTCTTTTGGGTTGCATGAGATCGCATATTCTCATTATCGCTAACTGACTTATGCTTTTTTGCAATAGATAGTTCAAAAGGTGCCTTAAAACTTTTGTTTCCACAGGTGTAAAAGAATTGTTTGAACCAAATGACTGTAAAATCGTATTGAAAAAGTTGGTAGTAGAGTATTTTATACCGAAGTCATAATTTAACAGTGGTTCAATCGTTTCATATTGCTAATATCACCTATCGATTTAGCCTATAATGTGAAGATTTATGGTCTAACCGCCGGTATGTACGATCTTTCAATACAAACTTTAAATAAAAAACCACAAAAATATTGACATCTACTAAAATAAATCAAAACACAACAGAATATGGTCAAGAATATCCACTCATCAAAGCAGAAGGACAATCATTTCACACTAACTCATTTTCCTCCTCTTTTAAATGTCTCATCTCACTCTCTCTTTGCCTTCCTCCTTGTTTTTTCATTTGTTCTTCCATCTCTCTCTCCCTCAGCTTTGTATCCACAACTCACCCCCTTGTCCCTTCCTCTTTCTTCCCACCGCTTAGAATCGAGAGAAACCTAGAAACATCCCAATTACTTCTCCAAATTTGCGTTTGAAATGCTTCTTCTCGATTCACAATTGATAGTGTGAATCAGAGCACGTGAAAACTGGGGAATAGATGGTCGCTTATCCATCGACGGAGCAAAGTAGCTTGATAGCTTGTGAATAAACTAATTATTAAAAGTGATAAAAAGCAGAACTCGTTAAACCAATCGAGTGAGTATATAGTTATTTCATCGCTTAAAGCCTTAAACCATTGTATTTATCTAAAGAATCAAAATGAATAATCAGGTTCATCTTCACTTTACATCTATTTGTCGTACAAATTCATTACACGTAAAAAAAATGGTTTTGAACTGACGCCATACCAAACTAAATCTCATCTTATGATTATTGGATCCATGTCAGATTAGCAAAAGGTCTAAGGCTATTGGTCAACCGGGCTGAAAATTAATACTAATTTAAGAATAATATATCGCTTCCAAAAGGTTCAATACTCCAATTCAATATGCAATATTCAAACAAATTATATATATGAGTTTCAACCCTTGCTCAAATTTTTTAGACAAAAAAATCCCCCCCCCCCCCCTCACACATATTTGCTAAGAAGTACTAAATCTCAATTTCTTTTTCACTTTACTTGCTTCTAAAGTTATTCTTGATGTTGTTTGTTATTATTGCAAGCTGTAAAAAATACTTTTAAGCGATGAAATTAATAAAGAATGATTTGATTAATGAATTTTTAGTTGTATACATTGAAAAAGGTTTGAGTCTCAAAATAAACAATGAATGTATTTTATAAACCTAGAATATGAGCCATCACACGTTGATGTGAGAAACTACTTATTAATTCAAATTTTATATGTTATTTTTAGAATATTTTGTTGTATTTTTATCAAATGGCGCATTTCTTCATAAAACATGTGTTCACCAGTATAGACTGTGTGGTAGGGGTGGCCATACGGTCCGGTCTGGTTGAATTGGCCCGAATTGATCCGGTCTCAATCCGGTCTTTTTGGGAATATAAGGACCAAAGATTGGATTGGATACAGTCCGGTCCCAATTCGGTCTTGATTTTAGATTGAGATTGTGGAGATTTTAGTGGAGTTTTGGGTGTTGGCTCTCTTATCTAGTCTTTATCCGGTTTTGGTCCTATCCCGAATGGTTTTTTACCTCAAATCTAAGCCCGAATATGAGATTGGATTGTTTGCGATCCGGTCCCGGTCCGGGTTATGGGGCCCGGTTTTGGGTAAACCAAAAAGCCCGGACCAAATAGCCAGCCCTACTGTGTGGTGCTCGCACTTGAAGTTTAAGTCTCGTACAAACTATGAAGCATTCATGCTTGTACATGGCCGATCCATATACATTGTCTTCATGATATGCTCTAACTGTGTCGTGCTAGCTCGACCATGTGCCTAGGTATAGATATATGCATTATAATAATTAAGTTTCTACGTATGCACAACACCAAGAAAAAAACTGTCATAAATGCACCCAATATTCGATTTTGACTACCTAATGAAATATTACATTTGAATAAACTACAACTTATGTCACAAATAATAATTGTACCTCTAAATCATACATAAAATATTCCGAACATCGCAATTAATTATTATAAAGAGTAAAAATTGTATAATGAGGTTCATTACTCATTTATATGTTCATGCCAAGGTTGTCAAACCGGTTTAAGTCATTGAGCTGGTCAAGTAAGGGGTTTGAGGTTTAATGATCTGATCGGGGTCCGGCCGGTTTGAGCCATTTTAGACATTTTCTAAATATATATACAAATAAGGTAGTAATTAAAGATTTGTTGACTGAAATAAAATTTATCTTACATATATCTATTCAAAACTTATTTTACACAAAATAAATCTACCTAACCTTCATGATCCATCCACCATTTTCCTTCATTTGTTCCTCTTCCTCTCTTCCCCTACTCTTCTTCTCTCTCTTTAGGGATCTAACCGTGGGGCTTTCTGGAGGCTGTTTTGAAATCCGATTCGGGTCGGACCAGGTCCAACCAGGGGTTCGATAGGGATTTAAAAACCTTGGTTCATGCCCTATAAATTGATCAACACATCTGATCCAAAACTGTCGAAATGAGCATCACATTAGACTCGATATCGTCTCATTATTGTCGGGTCCATTAATGCGCGATTAGCAAGATTTTAACGTTTAGCAGTTAATCTGGCTAAAATTTTAGAGAACCAGTCACCTTTAGTTTGTACAAAATATTATTGTTCCGTATTAGTTCTAAAAATTCATATTAATTTAAAAAATTCTGCATCGCTTTTGCATATTCAATACTGCAGTTCAATAGCATTATTTCAAGCAATGAAATTTTTATTGCAATTTTAAGATTACCCGTCATTTAGAGGAGGGGTAGCCTTGGGGATTCTCAATCTAGACAACGCTTTTTACATCTATTTAGTACTTACAACCTTCATTTGCTGCTTTGTTTTCGTTTAAGTTCAAAAAGAATTGAGAAATTTAGCCGTAATTTCAACCACAAACCTCAAAACTGCATTGGCCTTTGAAATTGCATGACCACTCAAGGAGACCACCACGTTTGGAGGAGGGGCACCTCCAGAGAGACGGTTGATCCGCTGGCAGCCACCACCACAGGTTGTGTATGTATGAACATCGATGGTTCGGTTAACCACTCTCCTTCTAGCACGACAGCTGGCGGCATCGCTAGGGGAGGCGATGGCCGCTTTATCAGAGCTTTTACTGTGAACCTGGGAGGGAGTTTCATTACCCGTGCAGAGCTAGCTGGGATTGTGCAGGGACTGAAACTTACCTGGGAACTAGGGGCTAGGAAGGTAATTCTACAGACAGACTCTCTTATAGCGAAGACTCTCATTGAGACGGCTTCACATCAGCATCCACACTTTGTAGCCATAGCCAAGATACGATGTTGGCTTCAGTATCCATGGTAGGTTCGGATTGAGCATGTTTACAGGGAGGGGGAACTACATTGCTGACTACTTAGCTTCCATCGGCCATAGCCATGCTGTAGGGGGTCCATATCATTGATGTTCCCTCGAGATATCTCGCTTATTGGTTGTACTTTGACAGAAATGAGATGAAAACTCCCCGTTTTATTAATACATAAAGGTTGGGGCGCTCTTTAAGCACTCCGTTTTCCGACAAAAAAAAGAACACATTTACAAACAACCACAAAATAGAGGTGGGAGCAAACAAAGATTCACTCCAAAAAAAAAAAGGAACAAACAAAGATAACAAAATGAGCTTGCTCCGTGTGAAAATGGGATGAATCATAATCATACTTAGTACGATTGAGGCCAATCAAAATCATATTTAGTACCATAAAATAACTATACAAAACAACTTCAAATTAAAAATCTTTTATCTATATATGCTTCTGAATCATCCATACATACTACATATATCAAGAGAGGGGGGATTTAGACATAAACTGGCATTTTGCCTTGATAAGGTGTGACAAATTTTGATCCGGTCTTATCATTGTCTTATTGAGGTCACATACTCTGCCAAAACGTGGTATATTCCTCTGTTTAAAGCCAGAAAAGGAAAGAGAAAGAAGTTGGTTGTGTTTCACCAATCACCACAAAGAGAAAAGCTTTAGATAATGATCTACAGATTTATTTTCCACGCATGTAAATTTATTCTATTCTCATGGCCAATTCATCCAAGACAAGATGCCCCGCCGCTTCTATCAGCGCAAGAAGAAGAAGAAGAAGAAGAAAAAGACATTCAAGATGCATTTGGCAGCTCACTTAGCTTTATTCGCTTCTCCAGAAATCAATAGCCACACCAGCACTGTCCACAGCTACAGGTGACACGCCTACGATATCCTTTGGGGCATTGTTTTGCGCAATCTGCGTCTTCTCCACAATGCCGGCCTTCGTTACAACCCGTATAATTCGTGTCAGCGGAAGTCAGAGTTGCAGCACCAAACATCCTCTGGCTATGGATAGTAGCACCACTAGCAGTAGCAGTATTGCTACTGCATCCGCAGCGACCACCGATACATTGTCCATAGCGGCAGCTGCTGCTGCTCCCGTGCGCATCAGATGAATACACGAAATATTTGCAGTCGGAGATGTTGGAGCATCGTTGTTGTTGCTTCTGCTGCTGCAGCCACTGATCATAATCTCTTACACCATCGTAGAGGTTTGTTCTTGATGATGACATGCTCAGTTGTGTCATACCTGCAAAATACTACCTTATCATTAATTTGTGCTTTTGAAGTTGAGAAATTAATTAAGTTGTGGAAGAGAAGGAGGAGATGGATTAATTAACCCACAAGCCAGGAGGAAGAGAGGAACCCAGATAGCCATGACCACAACTACTCTGCCATTTCCCATAGCAACGAGCTTCACCATGATGATAATTAGTATGTGTTTACACCATAAATTTTGTCTTGTACCACATTGGTGAGTTACAAGATAATCAAGGAGTTTATAAGGCCACACCCATTATAACAATTAATGTTGTTTAAATTGGGCCTTATGGATATTGATTTTAAGTCCAAGTCACTAGCTCATTAATGAGCATGGACATGATTCAATAAGTGACATGGGCCTCTCGTAAGAGGTCATGCCATGCCACGAGATGGCATGAAAATTTCTAAGTATGAGAAGTCCATGGCCATGAATGAAGAGGCCATGCCGCCCCATGGCCAAGGCCTAATGACTGAAAAATAAACTAAGTCTGGAAGAGGTACATGCCACTTCAAGGAGAAGCATGTGCCGCCTCACGAGAAGGGGCATGGACGCAAGAAAAGATACTAAGTATGAGAGGGCCATGTTGTGTCCATGGCCGCGAGACAAGAAGGCCATGAACATGAGTAAGAAGTCCATGGTCGCGAAGCAAGAAGACCACGACCCCCTTTGCGAGACACTACATGCTCGTCAAAAGACTAGCATGGCACGAGATTCAGAACAAGACCAGACGAGGCAAGATACACTCCAAAACCCACGACGGTTCCAAGAGAGGCACCTAGGTGGTTGAAGGAGTAACCACCACTCCGAGGAAGCAAGGAGCGGTTCTTTTTGGGAGTTGTCCAAGAGGCGGTTTATTACCGAAGAAGGAGGAGCGGTTCTTTGTAGCAGTTATCCAAAAAGCGGTTTTCTATGGCGGTTACCTCCTCGGGGCTATAAATAAGAGGAGGGGTCGACAGAGACAGGGGTTCCAAAACCAACACTCTGACACACATGTCAAGTTTATCCTTTACCTTTTCTCTATCATGTAGCCATAGATGTAGTTCGTAGTTTGGAGCTCTCGCCGAACCTCCATAGGAGTAGAAGTAATTTAATTTAGATCTCTTTCCCAAAAAACCATCAATCAAACACCCTCGTTCGAACTTTGTTTGAAGAGGTTTGAGCCGTGTTTAGTGATCGTTGTCCAAAGAAGTCAAAGGTGCATTAATCTCATTTCAACGCAAGTTTTCTCGCCGGAAAACAGTATGTAGATAGAAGCACCTAATTAGAGCCTAGTTGGTTGCTGGTAATTTATACTATGGGAGTAAACAAAGCAGGCGTACGTAATTAGGAGTACTCTTTTCATACGCGGCCCGGATCCGGGCTTTCCTTTACTGGCTTGATTCGTTTGTTTTAAGGTGCAGGGAATTGCTGGGCCGGAATTTTCTCGTTAGGTTCCAAGGAGCATGGAGAAGTTAAATGAAGATGGACTCTCTTGCTGCCCTACGAATTGATTATAACTATGATGCAAGTGTCCAATTAAACACGCCCTCTCTCTCTAATCCAAAAAAAAAAAAAAAAAAATACTGCTTTTATTTTTATTAGGAATGGTGTGGTATTATATTTCATCAAAATAAGATGTTATTATGACGATAACTCTACTAAATAATTAAAATACTATAGGACCAGGTTCTTGTTCGCCTAACTTATCAATTAGAGACGTACATGTCTAACAGGAAGTTTATCCAACTTATCAAGGCCTCTCTGTCATTAAAACCGCTGCAATTCAAGAGTTAATCCGCCACAAAATATTTCACATTTGCTAGAATTAGAGCCAAGGCCAGAGGAGTTTTAAAAAATATCCAATATCCTCTGCATACAATAAATAGCAAAGTTAGACACATCCTATAAATTAACAAATCATTCATGAAAACATAAATGGGTCATCCATACTCTCTTGCATAGGATGGAAAGACAAACCATGATTTTTTTTACAATATCATCAAATAAGCAAGTAAGAATTTCCTTGGCAACAACAAAATATAAGAAGCGTGAGAGATCCTCTTAGCTAGTGAGTAAACAATCCAAATAAGCCACACACGTATATTTTACAGCAATATCTTTTTGCCTCAGTAACCTTTGATAATAGATCACTCATTTATACTCCGTGTCTACAAATATAGTATTTACATCATCCATCAATTGTGGTTTGTTTCTGCGTCGAGTTAATTGAATGGTAATAGAACACAATTTTTGGCATAAAAGTGCCTCCTCTGGAAGTTGTGAAAAAGTCAACTCCTTATTTAATCGAAATTCATTCTCAAAAGTAATGCAATAGCTAATATCGAGCTTGAGAAAATTCGACCTCTTTATCTCGCATCTTACCTCGAATATCAAAACGACTTAAGAGAGCAAGAAAGGTTCCCCTTCTTTTTTTTCCCCTCTTATAAAATTTCGAGTTATAGAGAAAATAAAATTCTTTATTTAGTCACATTAAAACATAGTTAGTAAAATACGGTACATGAAAGTTACGTATAAAATACTTACGGGTATGTTACGTCGTCACAAAGCTAATGTTACGTTTAATAGTACGTTAATAATCATAAATATATAAAATTAATTATTTTAAAAATAAATAAATATGTGAATAAAAGTAAAGCTACCAATTTAATTTATTTAAGACGGATATTAAAGATGTTATCATGTTTTATACGTGTTTAGTATGGGAGACACCAAATGAACAGAAAAAAATAAAACGGCTTGACAATAATACGGATACAGAAATTTTAAACAGATAAAAATATGTACGGGTACATATACGTGTATTAAACAGAGTATTTACTAACTATGCATTAAAAACCCTTCAACACACTTGGATTTTTACACACCTTATCCATCGTATGCTCTCTCCTTTATTTTGATCTCCTGGAGTTCTTGGATGAAGTAATCTAATGGGGCTTGAAGATCCTTGTTTGGTTGACTATTAATTATATTCTTCCCTTGAAGCTCGTCAAGTAAGGGTCATAGGCTGTGTTGCTCCCTTTTGTGATGAGGGATGTTGTTCCTTCAATATCTTCAACTTCATGGAAGTTCTAGCGTACATCTCCAATATTGAAGTGGTAGTGAACTGCGAGATGTCTCCTTGTGCAAACTGGTTAAGGTAGTGGACCGTGACCTCGTTGAGTCTTTTGTAAAACCAGTGGACTTGCTATTCTGGAACAAAATTATGGTGCAGACATGAAGTAATGCGTCAGAACGAGTCCATACCTCGTGTTTGTCTTCATCCTTTCCCTGTCGAAAGTAGACAATTTGACTCTTTATTTTCTCAAACTTCCACATGGGGAAGTATGCTTCTATAAAAGCTTGGGAGAGGGTTTCCCTGTGAATTGATTTGACCCCACTCACCTCATGTGACTTTATTCGAGCTCAAATTAAATCTCTACGCGGATCATGAGCTAAGAGACGAATTAGAAGGTTCAAATAGAGCTTGAGAGCATTTAAGGTGGGTGAAAAATGTTCTACAAGCAAAGCTTATGAGTTTGTTGATGCCAAATCTATTGGCATTTTATATAACTCTCGAGATCTTTATGAGTTTGTTGATGCCAAATCTATTGGCATTTTATATAACTCTCGAGATCCAAAGATGAAGGTTCGAGTAAGGTGATACAAGGATCAAATGAGACCATTTTCTATGGACGTGGATTTGCATCAAGGAAAGCCTATCACATTCTTACAATTTGTGGACTAGAATCAAGAGAATGTGGGCTTAGAAGAAAAAGGAATGGATTCTCCTCATGGTGTGAACATAAGGGGTCGGATCTCATGACTAGAGGGGGTGCTTAGCCACTTGACTAAGCCCCTCCCAGCCCTTAGAATTCTACACATCAATCTGATGGTTAAAAAGTGGGAAGAGCTTTTTAATTAATGACATGGGAGTTTGGGTATTATGAAAAATTATGAAGTGTACAAACCGGACTTACAAACATTACAAACTAAAACGACAAAACATATAAACAGATTTACAAACAATACAAAAAATACAAACTATACAAACTAGACCGACAAAAAGCCGCCAGGAGAAATTCCAAAAAGCCGACCAGTCGGAAGAGCGAGGGTGGGGAAACATTCCGCCCCCTTTTTTATTTTAATTATTAAATAAATAAATTATGTAATTACTACATTGTCCTTCATTAAATTGAATTAATCTGAACCACTGGATTTAAATGAGGTGGAAGGGTTGAGATTCACTTAGTCACCTGATCTTAGCCCCGTGAACACAAAGTGTGAACACAAGGTGGAAAGCACATTTCAAGGCTAGTGTCTAGGAGGAAGTTTGACTTGTTCTTTTCCTATTTTGTTAAGGTTCTTGTTTTCCTTTTTCAAGTAGGATTTGTTTATCCTTAGTAATTTTGGATGTAAATTCGTGTATATAAAAGGAGGCCAAACTATTGTATTTTTCATTCAAGTTTTCAATCAATCAAATACAAGTGAGTTTACTTGAGTTCAATTGTGAACGGTTTTGCTTAATCTATCATTTGAGGATTTGCAAGAATTGAGTGGTCACTTATCAACTACTGAACGCGTCTAGTTGTGGCGAGTATCGACGATATCAGTTGTCCTCTTCCACGAGTTCGAGATTGTTTGGAAGGTTTCATATACCTTCTGGCACTTCTCACGAGTTCATATTTGTTTGATCGATTACACAAGTTATCCTTTATTTTCGTTCTATTGAAGTAGAGATGGCAATGGGTCGAGTCGGGGCGGATAGTGCATATCCGTTACCCTACCCAAAGTAGTTCGGGTTTTACCCATACTCATACCCACATAAGAAACGGGTAGAAAATTAAAATCATGCCCATATCCGTTCGGGTTTCGGATATCCACGGTTATCCATGGATAGTAATTTCTCTTTATAACTCCAACTAATATGTTAACATTCACACATATATTCACATTACACAAAGGAAATATACGACGATGAATCACTAGAATGAAGAAAATTAATTAAAACAATACAATTTCATGAAAATATTATATTTGTATGCTAAATATAAAATATGTTAAAGAAAAATAATGATCATTTGTAGACAAAATACATTTGCATATGTATAATTGGGCGGGTTTGGGTTGGATAGTAAAAAAAACCATACCCACCCATTAACCGCAATATTCGGGTTCGGGTTATACCCGTACCCACTAAAAAAATTTCTTGTTCGGGTTTTACCCTACCCGATTAGGTCGGATTCGGGTGGATATCCACGGTTACGGATATTTTTGCCATCCCTATATTGAAGAAAGAAGAGAATTCCTAAAATGTTCGACGTGTGCAACTCTGATGTTTTGATACGATTTGGGAGGATTCTCGAATTAGGGACATATCTTGAATCTCTCCTTAACAAGGCTAGTGTCTTACCCTGAAGAGAGAACAAAGAGAGCCTCATGCATACTACCTCTCTGGATACCCAAGGACGAACAACTGAGTCTACCACTTCTTGAAAGGCAGCAAGATGGGTGAGTGAATCATCCCCTTCACGACCTGAAAAGAGGCAATTGCTTCTCAAAAGCTGGAATGTGTCATTAGTGGCTACAAACATTCCTTGGGTGATCTTTAATAGAGTGATACTAGGTCGAATATCGGCCACCTTAGGCCAAAAGAAGTCAGTTAATATTTGAATCACCTCTCCCAAGGAATAAGATCCTTGGATACTTGAGGAAGTGAGCTGGTGCCCTTGAAGTGTAAGACTGGCGTTAAAATCAACGGCAAAATAAGATACTGTAATACTTCATCTATATGATACTCTATCCCTTCCACTAATGCATTCCTAACCGAGCTTATGCGACATGCGTGAGGAAGAATAACTAGCTAATGGGTATTTCGCTTCATGACATCAACTAACTAATGAAGAACAAGGAAGTAAGGATATCACATGGTTAAGTGTGGGCCTCTTGAGCCATAACTCGTGGTCTACAACATCTATGATCTAAACAATCAAGTATGCATATACGAATAGGTTGCCAATCAATCTATACATGCTTGAGATATCACAAGAAAATAGTTTTCTAACATCATTCATTGATGATATTATACATCCATAGTAGCATACAATAGATTCATAAGCATAGAAAGACAACATTAGATGATATAAGCACCAATGATATAAATATAAGAATGATTGAAGCATCAAATCAAACAACAACTAGTGACATTATTGAATCATTGAAAGATACATGAGAATCGGAGAATTCACATCCCTAAACAATCTCGAGCTAGCATGCCAAAAGGGAGGGAGAAGATATCACCAATGATGAAGAATCGATGGTAGATAGCTTCTCCTCCTTCTTATGAGATGCTAACTCCTGCTTCTTGGGAAGAATATGTAAAAGGTGTGTCTAAAACCTCTAGCATATGCCTCTATTTATAGTACATTAGGGAAGAGTTTTCTACTCTTTTTCCTACTAAATTCAGTCGAAACATTCCTTGTACGAGTGGGACTCCGATTACCTTCCTTGGGCCCTGCAGTTTGCACCTTCTAAAAGCTTCCCACGAGTTCGAGCCCGAGAGGCAGTGACGCGGCGGTGGGTATCACCGTGGGCTTTTATTCTCCAAACAAGCCCATTTTGGTGGGCAAATCCCTCTTGGACCCATTGAGCTGCTCCCAAATCCACCGGAAAGAACAAGGATGCCAGCCAGGGCCGAGCCTTGAAAGCCGGGAAGTACACCCGTTATCACAGTCTCCATTTGAGCCAATACTTTTAATTTTGCCCTCCTTCTGATCCAATGATGATCCATATTCCTCTTGAGTGTCATCCATCGACTACGGTTCGTTGTGGTTTCATTAGACGAGTTTTATGTTCAAAACTCAAGTTAGTTCCCTGAGTGAGATACTTGAATAGCTCATATCGGAACCAAGTCTCTTATACCAAATGATAGAAATCAATAAATTGAAGAAGATTTAGGTAGAGACAAAAAGGAGTCTAGAGGAAGAATTTAGGAGAAAATATGATAAAGAGGTTGTCCGCCTAGATAGAGAGGGAAAAAGAATTAGTATTTTGAAAAAAGAGATACTTGATTTAACTTCTTCTATTTTTTCCTTAATTCTGATAGAAGACCAAAAGTACATAATTATAATAAAAATCATAAATCCTTATAATAATTTTAATAAACATCCTAATAATAAAAGTAATTAATTTTGTATTAGGAACTACTAAACTCAATCACCTCTGCCGTTAGGGGTGGGCAATGGGCGGGTTGGGTGGGTTTTGGTCTCAAATTGACCCACCCGCTTACTAGGGAGTTAGTATAATTATAACCCACTATCCACCCACATTCTTTTGCGAGTTGGATTGGGTGGGTGGCGGATGGGTGTGGTTGGGTCGTGGGTTAACCCGCAAAAGCAATTCTTCAACTAGCCAGTAAGAAAGTTGAGTCACATATATAATAAGTTTATAGCAAATTATTGAGACGGTATCAATCTAGACACTTTCCACTTTGTCTCATGTTAATCCATGTAATATTTGCATAAAAATTTCAATTACTCTATCAACGTATTGTATAGAGAAAACTTACGCATTTTTTGGTTTCCTACAATTAATAGTTTATGTTTGCATCCCAATATTTTATGGATATAACAATAATTTGCATCTCAAAATCTAATAGATATTACATAACACAATAACTAATAATAGTGGTAAAAAACTATTCTGATTCTCCAACTTTAGAAATATGGTCGGTATATAGTGCGATTTGGAAATATCATGAATATTTGATAGTATAAGAAATAACATTTTCTCATGTGAAAATAGGGTGCGGGTTATTCAAGTGACCCGCAATCCACTCACCACCCACCCACATAAGTGCGGGTGGGAGATTTATCAATCCGCAATCCACCCACATCATCCACCCAATGCTTACGGATCGAGTATTTGCGAATAGATCAATATCAACCCGCGGATTAACCACCCACGTGCTCACCCCTAGCTGCCGTTACTCTTCTATTTTCTATTGTGCTCTATCTTGTGGAGGTACAGACTCCCAATTAATAATAATAATAATAATAATAATAATAATAATAATAATAAGAAGAAGAAGAAGAAGAAGAAGAAGAAGGACTTTGCTATGGTGACATGCATGTCACCGTAACTTGCACTTTTAGGTCGACCTCATATAGGATTAGGTGGACCTAATCTGCACTGTTAAGTCGACCTTATATAGCATTAGGTCGACCTAATCTGCACTTTTAGGTCGACCTTATATAGGATTAGGTCAACCTAATATGTTGTTTCAGTTTTGTGAAATTCAACGACACGGTTGACCTTTTATAGCAAATGGACGACCTCTTTGGGAAGCGAACAGAATGAAAGGTCGAACCAAATACCTCATAGGCCGACCATTTTGATTATCTGAGGTCGACCGAATAAGTACGAGGTCGACCGCGTGCACACCGTATCCGGATTGGATAAGGATTCCAACGCCAGAAAGGTAATCCTAACTTATCTACCACTTAATTCGACCCATTCTCGTCCTAAATATCTATAAATACGAATATATGTCACCTTCACCGCAACCGAAACTCTAAATTAGGATTTTTTTTAAGGTTAGAGCTTTTGTGAAGAAGATCATTTGTGGTTGCTGCTGTACGTGATTCAAGAGGTCGACCACGTGGAAGTTATGAATCCTTGTTATCATTATTTATGACTGATTCTGTTGGTTTGAAACGTAATTTGTACGAGCAAAAGAACCACCCACATCGACATACAAAAGCAAAAAAGACAAAGGGCATAGGTTGATTTTCTTGTATTCGGTCGACCTCGTACCGGATTAGGTCGACCGCGAAACCAACATTTGATCTTCATTTTATGTCAAATGATGATGGATAAATGTAAACAACACTTCTCTTCTATCTGGTCGACCTCTTTCTGTAAATGGTCGACCATTTTGTTAATGACCACCATCAAGTGGTCGACCTATGTACCTTTACGGTCAACCATTTTGCTTCTGACGCCAAATGAAAAGGGCGACCGATGTTTTATTGTGTTCGACCAACAATGACAACTTAAACTACAAACGGGTGATCACTACATCTTAAAGGTCGACCGTGATAAGTCATCAGGGTGCCCGCATTAGTGTCTTCGAAAACCTCACAAAACTGAAACGGCATGTTAGGTCGACCTAATCATATATGAGGTCGACCTAAAAGTACAGATTAGATCGACCTAATCCTATATGAAGTCAACCTAAAAGTGTAAGTTACACACCATAGGCATACTCAATCTATTAGTTCTGTCCAGCCAAAAATTGCAACATTAGCTTAATCAACCTAGTGAAGAAATGAAAATTCTCACCAAAACATGGCATCCTTATTTTTAAGCCAAAATAAGTAGCTAGAAAAGGAAAGAAATAAGAGCTTAATTGGTTTATATAATTCACCACAAAAGAGAAAGTTCGGTTATAGATTTATTTTCATGCGGGCAATTTATTTCATCAGCAGAAGGAGAAGTAAAAAAGACATTCAAGAGGCCCTGCTTAACAGACACCGGCGAGATGCATTTGGAAGCTCACTTCTCATGGAATCAACTGCAGCCACACCAGCACTGTCCACAGCTACAGGTGAGTGTACAACTTCTGTGGCAGTGTTTTGCGCAATCTGCATCCTCTCCGCAATGCCCGCCTTTGTTACAACCCTCATAGTTGGTGTCATCTGTCAGAGTTGCAGCACCAAACATCCTCTGGCTATGGATTGCAGTACCACTAGCAGTAGCAGTATTACTGCACCCGCAGCGACCACCGATACATTGTCCATAGCGGCAGCTGCTGCTCCCCTGCGCATCAGATGAATACACGAAATATTTGCAGTCGGAGATGTTGGAGCATCGTTGTTGTTGATTCTGATGCAGCAGCCACTGATGATCATCCCTTACACCGTCGTAGAGCTTTGTTCTTGACTGCAGGCTCAGTTGTGTCATACCTGCAAATTACCTTACCTAAAAATTGTGCTTTTTGAAGTAGAGAACAGGCATCTATCCAACCGCATATACGAAAATCATGGAAAATGATCTAGTAAGAAAAGGAGGACAAGGATTAACCCACAAGCCAGGAGGAACAGAGGAACCCAGATAGCCATGACCACAACTCTGCCATTTCCCTTAGCAACAAACTTCACCATGATTAATTAATGTATAGAAGCTGGCAGCTAATTAGCCTGGCTGGTCTCCCCAGCCACAAGTAATTTATACTATGGAAGAAAGCAAGAGAGAGAGAAAGCATAATTGTGTGTTATCAATCCATCCTTCCAGAAACAGAGTAGACGTACATAGTTGGGATCAGCGAGTTAGGAGTACCTCTTCAATACGCCGCCCGAATCCGATCTTCCTTTACCGGCTTGATCCGTTTGTTTGATGCTGCAGGAGTTGCTGGGTAGGAATTGTCTCGTTAGGTTCCAAGGAGTACAGGGAAGTTATAATGAAGATGGACTCTCTTGTCCTACGAATTGATTATCACTATGATGCAAGTGTCTAATTAAGATGTTATTATGGCAATAACTCTAGTAAACAAGTAAACCGTGATATGATCAATCACTGTTGTTTCTATAATGTAGAGAAAGAAAAACAAGTCATATTAGAGCTAGAGAAGCAATCATTTAAGACCATTAAACAACATCACGCAATTTGGTACTCACACCCACTCTTCCCAGGAAATCATTACACAATCTTTCAATCTCTTTGAGCATAGCTTTAATCGAAACAAATACTCACAATTAAAAAAGTGTATTATATTATGTTATTTCGTACTGTACATAATCCGCTCAAGTCTGTTAGCGTAACTCATGATTTTCATCTTTCATATATGTATCCCCCCCCACCCCACCCCACAAAGGTGATACATGTTCGGTTTTATAATTAGGTGTTACTTAAGAGATTCGAATTTGTGACATCCAAATTCAAGACCAATGATAATACCACTGGACCAAGTTCTTGCTCGCCCAACTTATTAATTAGCGACGTACATGCCTTGACCGACAGTTTTCCTGCAATCAGGAGGGCCACTAGGTGTCTAATAGGAAATTTCCATCATTCTCTATCAATAAACTGTTGCAAATTCAAGTGGTAATCCGCCACAAAATATTTCACAGATTTACTTGGATTAGAGCCAAAGCCAGAGGGAGTTTTAAATTTGCCCAACACCCTTTGTATACAATGAATACCAAAGTTAGACCCATCCTAGAAGATTAACACATTATTCCTGAAAACACAAACGGATTAGCCAAACTCTCTTATACATAGGATGGAAAGACAAGTGATGGAGCTAGGTTGAAACTAGGAGGGACTATAGTCCCTCTCGATTTTAAAATATAGGTAAAATTATACATGTATGTTTTTAAAAAATTTATAAATTAGGATAGTCAGTGAGCCTTTAGCTTTTTCTTCCAATTGACACAAAAAAATTAGTAATTAGGATAACATGTAGTCCCCCTTCTGCTAGATTATCGTGAAAATCGACATACGAATTCAACGGATACCAATTGAGGCGTAATCGATTTCACATGTCAAGTTTCGTCAGTTTTGCAATAAAAATAACTACAAAAACAATAAAACTACAACTAAATTACTCATAATACTTAACTTCTTATTCCTGAATAATAAATAGAACAAAACAATACACTAAAGTATAGGAGTGATATCATAAACTAGTTTTCTCTTAAACAAGATAAACTCAAAATTTGGTTTTCTTATAAGTATAATTTCAAACAAGCAAGATTAAATAATTAATAAGTCTTGTAAGTATAACTTCAAACAAGCTAACTTCAAATAAGTTAAAACTCAATCCTAAACCAACAAGTAATATTCTCTCCCCTCCTCTCACTACTGGAAATATCACTTTTACCTGCCGTTTCCTGATTACCGTATCAAAATGATAGTTGATAAATGATAAATCACCTAGTATATCCAATACGGTAGCCAATAGTAACTTATCAACTATCGTAACAATAAACGGTAGGTATTTAGAGGACAATACGATAGTTATTAGTATAACTTCAAACAATAGTCTTATTCTTTTTTTTAATAAAAATTTTATTTCCTCGCATTTTAGACCTCACACTATGTAGGAAAAACGGGTGGGTTTGGGGGAAATGTAGGTTTTTTGGGTTTGGGGGTAGAAAATCCCACAATAGGTTGGGAGGGAAAAGAGGGAAAAGTGAAAAGGGTGTTTTTTATTGAAATCAATTTAACGTTGTCACTTTAGTTAAATAATTTGATCGTTCTTTTTATATAGATAATAATAAATTAAGACAAACATTGTGATATCATTTTTTTCATTTGGACATAATTTTTTCGTCATTAATTAAATATGATATCATCAATGACGAAATCACAATAATGTTTCAGAAGGCCATGACTTAATTCTGATCATTAGATCGAAAAAAGCAATCTATGGTTTAAAAATGACTAAATTATATAAAAAAGAAACTAGATAAAATTAAAACAGAAAAGAAAAATAATAATAAGAACCACAACTCGCGCGCACCCTTTCCTCCTTCCTCCTTCCCCCATTTCATTGTCTTGTTGTGGGTGGAAAATCCTATTAGATTTCCCCCATTTTTCTTATTTTCCTACTTTCTCCCTCCACTATGAACCAACTTCTTATTTTCCCCCTTCTTTTCCTCATTTCCTCACTCCACTGTGGGTGGTCTTATTGGCCACTCGTTTTAGAGAGAAAAATATATTCTTCTTGGATCGACAATCGGAGCTCACCTCCTCCTCACTCTCCCCAGCTCCAAGCCTCCCGATCGAACTTTCATCGATCACCTCCTAGCCTTTAAATCCTTCACTGGCGGCAATCTCTGGGTTCTCTCACCATCTCCGCCATCTCACCTTGTCCTCACCCACCTCCGAGCATCCAGATCGAACCCCTTCATCGGTCATCTCCTAGGCCCCAGCCTCCAAATCGTTCGTCTACGGCGGTCTCTAGGGTTCTCCAACCGTCTCTGCCGTTTCTGTGCATAGCATCTTCGACTATCTGGTCGTCTCTGTCCCCATCCTCTCCATCCCTGGTTGTCTCGCCTCCCTGGCCATCTCCGTCGGGTCTGTTCCTCCATCATCTCTTTGCAATCAGTCTTTGTCGTCTCGGTCCCTAGCTTCTCTGATTGTCTCCATCCGTCCCTTGGCCCTCTCCTTACTCGTTCCTCGATAATGTATTTGAAATTGGTGTTGGTTCTCACTCCCAAACCTTCCCTTCTCTAAACTCAATGTCTTAGCAAGAATTTTAGTTATGCACTTGTAAATAATATTACAACAAGAGATTGGTCTAAAATATTTCATCTCCTCCAGGTTCTGAGTCTTAGGAACTAAGGTGAGTAGAGTGGAATTTACCTCTGAAGGGATGAAAGAAATCAGCTCAGCCTCAATTATATTCCAAGTAGCTTGAAAGAACTTTGTTGTATACCCATCTGGACCCGGACTTTGAACTCGTCAGTGGAGACTGGTCGACATAGCCCAGCCTGATCAAAACTCAGTTTTTTTCACAAGAATGCTACTAAAAAAAATCCACCGATTTAGCCACCACTTCAGTGTCTGCCTTCCCAAATAAAATCACATAGACCTTTACGACAATACTACTGATAGACTCAGTGTCAAATACTATCTTACCATTTCCATCAATAAGTGGACAATTCATGTTTCTTTTTCTATCTAACCTTCAACAATCTATGTAAATATGCAGTGTTAGCATCACCCTCTTTCAGCCAAATCTCTCTAGAATTTTGTCTCAGGAAGGATTCCTCTGCCTCTCTTAACTCCTTTAAATCAGTTGAAACCTCTTCTCATTAGCAAAAGAGTCCTCTGTCAGATTAGAAAGTGCTACAGCCTGAGCCACCAACAAATCATCCTCCTTAGATTTGACTCTCCCTATAATATCTGAGTACTGAGTATTCCTCCCAATTAAGATTCTTAAAATGCCCTTTTGAATTTCGAGCTTTTTACGAACTCCCGCCCATGGAGACCCCACAACCTCACTATCCCAAGTTGTTTGAACCAGTTCCATAAATTTTAGATGAGCCATCCAAAACTTAAATAATTTAAAAGGCTTTGATAGCGACTTGTGATTGATTCATTCCGTGCAGTTCATTGTCAGTAGTTTGCACGTATCAATAACAACCTCATTCTATGCCAAGTTTAACCTATTATGGCGTTGTCATATAGTGGCAATCAAGATCGTATTCACTCGGGTCCCTGTACCCTAGCCTACTTCCCACTTTTTTGTTATCTAGCTGATCGGTTTAAAGTGTTATGTTGGAGGATTCAAGTAAAATAACTAGGAGAGAGAATAAACAAGGACAAAAGCAGGTACATCGGGGAACTAACCATCGCCCTAGCCTAGGTCTATCACGCAAATGTCTAAACATGTTGGGTTAAGTGAATGTGGTGAGTGAGCTCTTTTCTGTGGGCCTTCATGATTATCCATAGCCTCCGAGTACGCCCTACTGACTCACTCCTACTGTCACTCTAGAAAATGGCCAAGTGTAACCACTTCCTAAAGCGTAGTATAGCGGGGTTGGGTTTTAATGTCAACCCGGGTCCTAGATGTGATGACTACTCAGTGAATTCGTATTATCTAGCAATGAAACTTTAGTGAAGGTCTAAACTAACAAGCAAGCAAAGCAACTAAACGGTTGTTTTCAGGTTAAGAGAGGTCACCCGGATATGGTTCCCCCTAGTCTGCAGTTAAGCCGGATTGTAATTACCAAGTTCAATTTCTATGATAGTTATACTGCGGAAGGTTCTCAAACAGTATGAAGTCTCGACTAAAGGTCTTCAGACCCTCTCAATCTGAGTCTCTAGCGGGCGACTAACCTCCACCGGAGTAAACAGATTGAGGCCCTATGAACAAAACCTCCACTACCGAATTGAATTCGGTACAGAATAGTGAATTGGCTCCTCGACTAAAGTCACCAATTCACTACCTTCAATTAAGGATACTCTATTAACCTAGGCAGATATTATCATTCTAGGTTAAAGCAGAAACAACAGGAATTTGATCAGGATTCATGCCATTCAATCATTCAAACCTCAATCGAATATAATCAATTCATAGAAACAGTACTTGGGTTCATACAATCAATCCCAACATACAGAACTAGGGTTTCCCACACCCAGATGAATGGGAGAACTACTCCATGGAGAAAGAAGCAAAAGCAG